ATTAACAATATTATAACAACGGATATAGATGAGTACCACAGTATTAATTGCACATATTTAAATGATCCAACAAAGTGTTCAGAATTATTTGGTTGTGCAGATGGATTGTTGATGGTACTGTCCGTCAACATTCGCAGTATAAATCAAAATTTTGATTTATTTCTAACGTTTGTAGTAAGTCTTGGTATTCATATTGATATCTTGGTTTTAACCGAATGTTGGACCAATAATAATTTCACACCACCTCAAATTACCGATTACAAGATGTATCAAACCGTTAATTATTTAAATAAAAATGATGGAGTAGTGGTTTACATTCATGCTTCTTTAAATTCATCAGTAACTGTATCTGAACCACACTTTCAAGAAGGAAATTGCTTGATTATAAATATAAATTCAGAATATTCAATCATCTGTTCTTATAGACCCCCTAGTTTTTGTAATCCAAATTGTTATCTACATTCTTTAGAAAATATTCTTAAGAATAATAATACTCCTCACATTATTTTGACAGGTGACATAAATTTAAATATACTATCGAATAGTTCTACGCACGTGCAAAATTACCTTAACCTAATTGCAATGTATGGTCTCAAGCAGGGCATTAATATTCCGACTAGACTAAATACTTGTATCGATCACTTTATGATTAAAAGTGTTAACACTTGGCGTACTTTTGTGTTTGATCCGTTAACAGATCATGCCCCAATATTGTTATGCATAAAATCTAAGAAAATTATTCGTAATAATAATCGATTAACATTAAAATATACCAACTATGATACTATTAACAATTACTTGTCAGCAGAAACGTGGCATTACCTATTTAATATAACTGATGCAAATATTGCTGCAGAACAGTTTTTAACAAAATTACTTACGGTGGTTAATAATAACACGGTCATCAATGAGTTACCTAAAAAATTTAGACCACTTAAACCATGGATTACACATGGCATTATTATTTCCATACGTAAAAGGAACAAGATGCACCTAAAAGTAAAATTACATCCGAATAATGAAGAACTTCTCGCAAACTATATAAAGTATCGTAATATGTGTAATAAATTAATTAAATTTTCTAAAAGGCAGTATTACGAAGAAAAACTACATATTAATGCTAAAAATAATAAAGAAACATGGAAAATAATAAAAGACGTATGCAACATACATACGAATAAGGAATCTCCTAAGGAATTACTTGAAGCTGATATTTCCCCCTCTAAATCTCTTGACAAAGTTAATTCGTATTTCACATCAGTGGGGCGAAACCTAGCTAACATTACACTTCAAAAACTAAACACGAGTGAAAATGAATTGGCAATAAAGGCTAGAATACCGAATGCACCTCTTATGTCTATGTCCCTCGAGCCCACAGATACCGAAGAAGTTAAGCGCATTATTATAGGCCTAAAAACAAATAGCACTCCTGGATTTGATTCTATTTCTTCATATTTCCTAAAGAAGTACATAAATATCCTCTCTGAGCCAATAGCGTTTATCTGCAACTTAAGTTTAGAACAAGGTGTTTTTCCTGCTATTTTTAAAGAAGCTACGGTTTGTCCTATATACAAATCTGGTGACAAGCAGCTCCCTTCTAATTATAGACCGATTTCACTTCTTAGTACTCTGTCAAAAATATTGGAAAAGGTAGTGAATAAACGACTGATACGGTACCTTGAAAGAAACAATTTCATTGATATTAATCAATTTGGCTTCCGTTCGGGTAGATCAACAGAAGATGCTGTATTAAGATTAACATCTCTTATATCTAAATACCTCGACTGTGGCAAAAAATGTGTAGGGGTTTTCTTGGACCTACAAAAAGCCTTTGATACAGTGTCGATTCCCATACTGCTCAACCGTTTGGAAAACTTGGGCATAAGAGGTGTTGTCTACAACTGGTTTAGAGACTATCTTTCGAATAGACGCCAACGTGTCAGAATCGACAATTACACAAGCAGCAGTTCCTCTTGCTCTTACGGTGTGCCACAGGGAAGTACCTTAGGTCCTTCGCTCTTCCTTATTTATGTTAACGAATTGTGTAAAATTAATATCAAAAATGCCGATTTAACCATGTTTGCTGACGATACTGTATTGATTTTTCATGGAGACACTTGGGATAAAGTAGCACAACTCGCAGAAAATGGTCTTAGGTTAGTGACAAGTTGGCTTGAAGATAATTTACTATCTCTTAATGTTTCAAAGACCAAATACCTATGTTTCGGTAAGACTAATGCTTCTCTTCCAACTAGAAACTTTAAAATTACTATCCACAGATATCCTTGCAATCGCACTATTAACTTTACACCATGTCATTGTAGTAATTTAGCTAAAACAGATCAGATCAGATATCTTGGTGTAATCATTGACAATAAATTAACTTGGGAGGCCCATACTGATGCAGTGGCTAATAAACTAAGAAAACTAATTTATATATTTAAAAGTTTACGGACAGTGACCGATTACAAACTACTTATTAAAACATACAAAGCATTGGGAGAGTGTGTCTTTAATTACTGCATTTGTTCTTGGGGAGGTGCCGCTAAAAGTTATTTAATTAAGGTTGAACGCGCACAAAGAGCTGTCTTAAAAGTAATATTTCGTCTACCATTTCGCCACTCAACAGTGTCCGTATATGACAGGGCGAAAGTGCTATCTGTTCGTAAAACATTTATTCTGCAAAGTCTAAGGAGATATCATCGTGTCACGGTGACTAAATTAAAACTTAGCAATAAGAGAATTGAACGATGTCCTGTTCCGAGACCAAATAGTGCTGTTTTTAGAAGACATTTTGACTTTTTGGCACCTAGGCTATACAACAAACTTAATAGAAAGCATAACATAAGATCACTAAATAACTTTGAAGTGAAAAATAAAATTATAGAATGGCTAAAAGAATTTGATTATGAAGGTACGGAGAACCTTTTTTCCTTGGATGTATAAACAACACCAGCTAATACATACATACTCTCGCACACACGCACACCCACCCACACGCCCACCTAACCACACCCACTCCCACACACACACACACACACACACACAAACACACACACGCAGTTTTAGTTACAGTGCAAACATTACATTCCTTTTTAATATTTTTATTATACTTTTTTAAAATACTTTTTTAAATTTTCGTTAGTTAGTTTTAAGAAATATTTGTAAACATAATCATATTTAACTATATATCGATAAACAAATTATTTTATTTTATAGGAACTAAGAATAGGGAAGGAAAACTAGCCCCTAAAATACAGGTATAATATCCTAGTTTAGGGGCTGTTGACCATTGTAAATATTTGTGATTGTAATATGTTTATCAATAAAGATATTATTAAAGATATTATTATATAAAGATACTCGGAAACGCTTGTTCATACATCCACCCCAGCCGGGGTGGATAATCGGAATTCACTTTTATTTGTTCTTTCGACTTTTCACCCCAAGTACAATTCAACTCATACACATTAATTATTAATTTTTTTTTATAAACACAATATTAAACAAAATCATATTACGCATTGTCGTTATCGTTATCTACCGTTATAGCCTATTAAAGTACATACATTACTTATTGCATTTAAATAAAATTAAACTTTCTTGTTTTAAATAATATTATTACGTAATTTATAAATTCTGAAATATGTCCACGAAATTACCATCACCAATTCATTATTGAGTAGACGTTATTTGATATCCTGAATAATTCGTCACTTTTGTATGTGATATGCATGTTTTTGTATGTGATTTGCAATCGTTTTCTAAATTTCTAGCGAAAAAAGTTTTTTGCAAACATTCCAACGTTACTTTTGGATGTTTGTCTTTAACTACATTTTAAATTGTTGTATGCCAATATTTCAATGAATCTGTAGGTAAGGTACATACTTCTTTTGATTCAGTGTTGACCTTTCAAACAAGAAGTATAAAGTATATATTTTTATAGATATGCAAATGTCTACTAAGTATCTTGGGTGTAAATCGGAATTCATATATAGTAAAAATAATATATATGAATTCCGATTTACACCCAAAATCGGGGTGAATAAATGAACACGCGTTTCCGAGTATCCGCCTTAGGGTGGATTTTTTAGGGTGGATAAACGGAATAAGCCGCAATCACTGACCAAAAGATGGACATTCTGTATTTGCTACTATAAGATATAGGACCACCGTAAAGATTCGTGATATCTGATACTGCAATCGCAACGCGTGACAATTGCGACAATCATGACTGTGTGCTCATTTTTCACTCTAATTTGTATAAATCAGATAATTGTATAAGAACCATCACGCAGTCCATCTGATAGTAAGTCCCATAGAAATCCAAATCTATCCTCGATTAAGAATCAATATGCAAATATGCCTAGTCACATCTGAGGACTAAAGACCGATTCCTATTCAATTCGCCATTACTATTCCATAATCATAAAACAACACTTGTTGCTTCAAGCAAACTATACTAATGTTAAACACTCGCTGCCCGCGGTGCAATAAAATAGGCTTTACGCTTTTACGGGCCCATAGAGTAGAGTAATATATACCGGAACGGTACGGGCCTTACGGCAGGCATAGTGACGCACCCCTGTCGTGTCGATGTGTATATTATGAAAAAGTAAAGAATGCAAAATAAATAGAAAACTATTCATTAATTACCTTTATTATTGGTCAAAAATACATACTTAGACTAAATAAAATTAATAAAAATTTAAAATGGGTATACAATAATTAATCTTCGCCCGAGTCAGCGTCATTGTCGCTACCGTCATAAACTACCGCGCATCAGCGCATACCGATGGCTTATGGCACCGCGGGTAGCGAGTGTTTAACATTAGTATAATCGTTTAGACGTAAGTATTTCCATCGTTTAAAATATAATCTTTATAATAACAGTAAAAATAATTACGAAATAGAAAGAAACCAGAAGACGAATAGGTTTCGTCTTCTGGTTTCTCTCTTATTTATTCGATTTGATTACGGGTTTCTTTGGATTTTTATAGGAGTCAAAACATAATCATCGGTTTCCTATGAATATTTATTACAAACTGGAGACGTTTCATCGCACAGGAAGGTAACAGATAGATATTGTAATAAAATGCAAAATAAAATAATTCGTTAATTTATAGGGTATAAATAATTATTTTCTTATCTTTTCAGCTTCAAAGAGCGTGGGGCTTTTTATTCTCTATCCAAACTAAGTACTGAACAAAAAGAAATTGGTGTAATCACGGCGTCTCTTGGAAACTGGGCTATGGTAATTTGTTGAAGACTGTTTATTAAAAGACCGACTAAAATTGTACAGTATAATTATAATTACTTTATTGCAGGCTTTAGCATGCTGTGGTCAAAAATTAAATATTCCTGTAACTGTCGTGTTACCAGTCATAGCTTCTATGCGCGCAGACCAAATATGCCGAGATTTTGGCGCGACCGTTGTAACGTTTGGGAAAAATTTAGCCGAAGCAAAAAGAAAAGCATTTACTATGCTTACTAATGCAAACCTATCTTATATAAACGGGTGGGCGATTTAAATTATTCTTTAATTTTTTCTTCTATTATTTCTTTACATAAAGTAAAAAATTTCGTATATACTTTGCTCACACTTTGTCCCCATAAAGAAAGAAAATTAATATGACAAAAATTATAGTTAGTAATAGTTTTTCTAAAGCCAATAAGAAGATCTGAAAAAGCATCCCGAATGCTACCCAGCCCAACTGAATCTGTTTATCGACTTTTCTCGAAGTAGTTTGTATCTAAGCGCTATCTACTCGAGGTAGATATACTCTTGAACAACTTCAAGAATCTCACCATCAGCGATAATCCAATCTGGTATGATATAAGTCATAGTCGGATAATCGGACGCTTATTTGCCCAAAGTTTACACTTCTTAGCATTAAAGAAAGATTATTATGGGCATGCCTTTTTGAATCCCGCATGCGAGATTGCTTGAAGGTCCTGAGATTAATAAAAATGTTACCTACGTATAATTATTTCATAGGACTAATTGTAAATTTGATATTTCAAGATATTTTTTTTTAATTTAATTATAGTCAGACTATTTACAAAGAAAATTTATATGAGAACTTATTCGTCTATTGTCTGTTGCTGTCCTCCATTTCCAGACATTGGGAAAAAAGTTGCTATATCCACCAAACATCCCGTTAGACCCTACTGGTGGACACTGGGAAGAAATGAGTTACATTGTCCCTCAGTGGTGGATATCCAAACCAAAAAAGTCCCGTTGTCCCCCACTATTTATTTTGTTTTCATGATTATTATATAAAACACCCATTTTAATTAAAATCAAATATAATTCTCACTTTTAACATAATATAAAGATCGATTTTATTATAATATAGTTTCACGACCTTGACATGTGTGCGTCTAGTTGATTTGAACATGACGCAAATACGTTTACTTCATCAACCTCAGATTCTACTTGTTTAGATGTTTTTATGAAATACATTCATTGAATTAAAATAAATAATCAAAATTTTATTTAATTCAATGAATTATATTTTAAAATTTTATTTAGAAGTTCATGTCCATATTAATCTTTAATGCTAAAAAAATGTAAACTTTAGATAAATAAGCGCCCGATTATCCGACCACTAGATATGAGCCTTTGACTTTCGTCTCATTTAAATTCATACGAAGTCCTACAAGTTGGATTTCATCTAGGCTGCTTGGCATGTATTGTAGTTCCTGTAGTCATTGTAGACCGTAAAGCGTAAGTGTTAGATGTGTTCATCGTTTACATTTGTCAAATCTCCGCATGAGTCATTGCGTGATGACAACAAAATTTATTTGATAGGTACGTTGATGTATTTTGCTTTATACCACTAAACATTAAACTGATGCAGATAATACCACTGACTAGAACACAGTGATAATAATCGGCGCGGCAGGGAATTCCCCGAATGAAATCTTCCCCTTTTGCTTCCCCTTATTTCAAATCAGGAAACCCCGGCTAAAACAATAGATTTTTAGTACCAGACTAGCACCAGACCTCAATAAATTACACGACTTACATTTTAGACATTTGAGATGAAATTGCCAGCTCACACTACTAAATGCTTGCAGATCATTTACTCCGATTATGTAATGACTTTTGTAATCATAATGTGTAAATGTAATTAATATAATTATAATCAGGGTCAGCAAGACGCGCTCAATATTTACCGGGTTATAAGAAACTTGTACATAATTACTATTTTCATCTTCTGTCAAAATTATTATTTATATATGTATCGCACATTTATGTTTTAAGTAAAAGTATGTATGTATGTAGTAGTATATATCGTGTCGCCAAATCACACACGTTTTATTCTCTAGCAACCCTGTCCATTCAAATATTCTCTGTAAGAAATCGCATAACAATAAGATCGCCCAATGTACCGCATTTCTTGTGTTCCTTTTTTTTTTGTTCCGACTCAAATTTTATAGCGTACAATAAAGTGTTATCTTTCTATCTATGCATGTGAGGCATAATAATAACATTCTTAATTTCAGATATGATCATCCCCACGTCATAGCGGCATCGGGTACAATCGGTATGGAAATACTAAAGCAATTGCCCAAAACAGATGCCATACTGGTGCCTGTGGGCGGCGGCAGTCTGCTCGCTGGCATTGCCGTAGCCGTCAAACACATCAAACCTGACGTCCTAGTTTATGTAATTTATACTCACATTATTTTTTTATATTTTTAATAGAATATACGTAAAGAACATACTAAAATCTAATCATAGTAAAATTACTGGAAGGTATATTTTAGGTTATATTCGACGTACTTACCATACTATTTTCAAACCAAAGATTTTAAAATGAATATGGACTAACGATCATGTTTTATTACTAACAATTTTGCTGCCGTATTTTGCATGCCTTAAGTGAAAGCGCAAGGTATGTTAGGTACTATCGCCTAAAAATTAAGATTCCAACGTTTTGTCGCATGAAATCGTATTGCTAGATACGATTTCATGCGACAAAACGTTGGAATATATAATATGATATAAAAAGCACATTGTCAGAAATATAAATGATTATTAAACTTATTAATATTTTTTTAAATCGATTAATTGCTATTTTTAAATAAAAAAGTGGTTTTAGTGGCTTATGGTGTGGATTTATCAAGTCCGCAACGCTTGTAAACACGATAACTTTTGAAAATATCAATTGTTCAGCTCAATATATTTTTAAAACTCTTCATCTATCATGTGGGAAGCCATTGAATGTAAATGGCAGTTTAATTTTGTTTAGTTTAGTTATAATAAATTTTTTTCGGCTGTGAAATGGCGAAATTTTCAGTGTATTCAGCAGCCTTGTATGAAAAATGATTACTAAATGGAATAGAGACTGCGTCACTCAGTTCGGCGTCAGTCGCCGTCGTGAGTGAACATTGTTTCGGTTGTTTGCAGCGGCTCAAAAAGATCGCTGTACAAATACACATTATTCGAATAACCAAATTTCTTAAATACTTGATTATAATAATAATGAGAGATTTGTTTATTACAATATTTTAAAAGCACAGAATAAATAATAGTAGTACGTACTAAAAGAAAGTAGTATCAATTTTTTCGTCATGGGTGTCATTTTCATGGTTTTCGAGGGTGCTGAAGCCGATAGTGCTGTCGAAATGTAAATCCAAGGTGGCGGCTGCAATAGGATTCAATTTTTTCATCATGGGTGTCATTTTCATGGTTTTCGAGGGTGTTGAAGCCGATAGTGCTGTCGAAATATAAATCCAAGATGGCGGCTGCAATAGATATCAATTTTTTCATCTTGGGTATCATTTTCATGGTTTTCGAGGGTGTTGAAGCCGATAATGCTGTCGAAATGTAAATCCATGATGGCGGCTGCAATAGATACCAATTTTTTCATCATGGGTGTCATTCTCATGATTTTCGCGGGTGTTAAAGCCGATAGTGCTGTCAAAATGTAAATCCAAGGTGGCGGCTGCAATAGGTATCAATTTTTTCATCATGGGTGTCATTTTCATGGTTTACGAGAGATTTCAAGCCGATAGGGTTGCCAAAATGTAAATCCAAGAGATGAGATGTTTCATGGACTGTTATTTAAGTCATAATCTTTTTTTTACACAATATTTTTACCTTCCACAGGGCATAGAGTCAGACAGATGTCCCAGTTTTTCGAAAGCTTTAGAAAAAAGTGGCGTATTCGAAACGGACCTGCAGCGTGGACTAGCGAATTCGTTAGAAGTGTCAATTGCCGGTTGTAATGCATTTGAAACTGCTAAAAACTTGATCAAATCAATAGTTAATTTCTTTTTACTAATTGAATAAATTATATTAGGCTTAAAAGATGAATAATGAAGTATTTTTTTTTTCATTTAATTTTAGATTTTAATAGACAATGATTGGATAGCGAAAGCGCTGTTGCATTTAATAGAGGATGAAAAATTAATAGTAGAAGGCGCTGCCGCTGTACCCCTCGCATCTCTAATGGCTCTTCCAAGAGCTTTAATCGGGCTGAAAGATAAAACGTAAGTCCGAACGAAAATTTAAAAGTAAAGCGATTATTTGGAATAAAAAATAGTAATGACATAGCTATGCCAGCGGATTGATCGCATATAATTTTTCACATTTATTTCATTTTTTTATAGGATATTTTTTTATAGGAGAGGGGGCAAACGAGCATTCGGCTCACCTGATGGTAAGTGACTACCGTCGCCCATGAACAACTGCAACACCAGAGGAATTGCAGGTGCGTTGCCGGCCTTTTAAAAAGGAGTAGGCTCTTTTCTTGAAGGTCCCTAAGTCGTATCGGTCCGGTAAAATCGCTGATGGTAATTGATTCCACAAGGAAGTCGTGCGAGGAAGAAATCATCTTCTTAATCGCGGCCGGTGTATAAAACATCCCCAGTGCTGTCATCCGCATAGCAATAAATGTTACCAGTTAGCAACATATCATTGATATGCAGAAGAAACAGCGTTGGTGATAGCACACAGCCTTGTGGAACACCAGCGTTAATAGGCTTGTAGTCGGAGCATGCACCGTCTACAACGACCTTGATGCTCCAATCTGCAAGGAAGCTGGTGATCCAATTGCACAATTTGTTGAGAAGGCCGTAGAAAGGGAGCTTCGAAAGAAGCGCTTTGTGCCAAACCCGATCGAAGGCCTTCGCAATGTCCAAACTAACGGCCAACGCCTCCCCCTTGGATTTTACTGCCTCCGCCCATCTATGGGTCAGGTAGACCAGAAGATCACCAGCTGATTGACCCCGACGAAAACCGTATTGGCGGTCACTAATCAGCTGGTGATCCTCAAGGTACCGCATGAGCTGGCAGTTAATAATGGATTCCATTATTTTGGAGAACAAGTAGGTGATGGCGATAGGCCTGTAGTTGGACGGGTCTGAGCGGTCGCCTTTTTAGGGATCGGGTGGACAAAAGCTGTCTTCCATGAATTCGGGGCTACGCCTTGGGAGTAGGAGTACCGGAAAAGACACGTTAGGACCGGTGCCGACTCCGGACCACACGTCCTCACCACAATTTTCTGAGAAAGGGGGATTCCATTAGGCCCACTCGACTTCTGGATGTCCAGGGAGAGGAGTGCTTTGCGAACCAAGCGCTGTGAGAACAGCACATCCGGGATGGAGCACTCACACCGCGGGATGGTCGGCGGCGTTTTCCCCCCGTCATCAAGAGTCGAGTTGGACGCAAAAAGGGAGCCTAAAAGGTCGGCTTTGTCTTTTGCGGCTTGGGCCAGTGAGTCGTCCTTCCTGTGCAGAGATGGTAGTGATGGCTTACAGAAATTCCCTTGGACAGCCTTGGCGAGAGACCAGAATGCACGGGTTCCCGGAGGAAGGCGAACTAGTTTCTCGCCAATTCTGCCTATGTGCTCTGACTTTGCCTTGGCAATAACTCTTTTGAAGGACCTGGAGGCGAAGTTATACTTCTTTTTAAGTGTGCTGGTGTTTACATCCCGAGTCGCCGAAGCCGCAGCCCAGGCTTGATAATACTCCTGCTTACTGTGTAATGCAGTCTTACAGGACCGACGAAACCAAGTCTGAGATCTGCCTCCGATGGGTACCACAGATGATGGAATAAATAGTTCCATTCCCTGTAGCACCACATCAGTAACAGAGTCAGCAACAGCGCTGGGATCATCCGGCGAGAAGCAAACCCGCCCCCATGGGCCGACCTGTAATGCCAAACACGGCGGCAACCTGCAGAACGCAACCGCGAGGGGAGCGTAAGTGGTACCACACTCCGGATCAGACAATGGTCCGAAGAGCCGAGAGGGGCATCGACGGAAACCTGATATCCGTCCGCAAAGGAGTGCTCCAATTTGTACCCCGGGTGGGAGAGATACGAAGTATCAGCCGGAGAGGACACCTGCGTCTTGGTCAGAAAGAGCAAGGCCGGCTTCTCTGTTTCGAGATGGTAGTGGACGGCATTTAGGTTCGAGTGAAGTCCCCTGATGTTGCAGAAATTCACGGATAACGTGGCAGGGGTCGCCTTGGTATTGTTGCTTAGTTTGCCCCGATCAGTTATGTTTTGGAGCGGAATTTTGCCCCCACCTCCACCCCCCCAGAATACGCGGGGCAGCCTGGCATGTTATTCCACTCCTGAGTGCCACGCTCAGGAGTGGAATAACATGGTCGTGGATGCTCAACGAGGGATTCTCCAGGGGTGCTGGTATCCTCCTGGAGTAGTCTTTGGTGTAATTCCGCTACCATGTTGATGGGGGGGGGGGGATGGAATTGGGCCTCCGGCCATCTGCACTCACCAGACGAAACGCAGAAGCAGAGCTTCTACTTCACGCCGGTATTCTGTGAGGTCGTGGTACCAACCCAGCTCGAGCCGGCCCATACGTGCAACAGCTTCATTTCAGTTCCATTTTCAAAATTTGAATTATTTTTTTTATTATATCGTTTACAAGTGGCCAGTTCTAAAAACTTTCAATGCAGCCCTCGTAGCTGCAGCATGGCTCTACCACGTTTTGCGAATGTCTTTGCAAATTCAAAAGTTTGACGATTTTCTAATGAACCAAATTTATATGGGACCTCCTCTGAGGTAGAGGGTACCTCTAACCAAAATTAATTGAAATTCAATTATCACTGAACGTACATAAAACATATTCCGACGAATTTACAACCTCCTACTTATTTGAAGTCCGCTGAAAATAATTGTATTGTTATGACAAATATCCCTCCTATGAGGCAATTTATGGGAGACCTACAGTATACTTTGATAACCTGTAATGAATGAATGATTATTACATGTGGTAGAAGCATGCGCAGCTATATTAGTAGTACAATTATTGTAGCACGAATGGGTCGGCTCAACCGAGGAAGGACTACGCTCTCACAGAATACCAGCGTAAAATTTCGTATGGTGAGTGTAGAAAATCGGAGACCCTTTTTACTGGAAACAAGGCATTCCATCTTAGTCCTCATGGGTGACAACGCATTCGCATTTTGATTCGTAATCGAGGATAGATGTAGATGTCTATGAGCGACAGCAACCACTTACCATCAGATGTACTGAGTGCTCGTTTGTCAATTGTCACCCTAATACTATTTAAAAAAAAACATAGGTGGATTATCTACAACGTCGACCGATTTCAATGATTATATTCCAGTTCTTTAAAGACGATTTTGCCTTTTTTTAAAGTTTAATTATTATATTACAGAGTGGTTTGTGTTCTCAGCGGAGGTAATTTAGAACCCTGTGTTCTTCAATCTTTAGAAAGAGCTCAAGCGCTGGAGGGACGGTTAATAACTGTGAATGTATGTTTGGACATTTTATTTCATTATCCTACGTGTATACACGTACTACGTCTTAAATTTATTATAGTCTAGATTTGATCTCAGACTATTTAGGTAAATAAATGAATATTACAGGTGAAACTACCCGGACTGGAAATAAACAACCTGCAGAAAATATTTAATATTATTGCAAAATTAGGTTGCAACGTAATTCGACATAATGCGGAGAAGTCATGGGGAGTAGAAAGCTATATGAACGAAATTAACGTAAGACTCACTTATTTTTATGTGTTCATCAGAAAACGCTTATAATATATTATAATTAAATAAAGTTTATTATTTAGAAGGACGTACATTAGACTGTAACTATCCTTTTTTAATTACCACTAGATACTTATTAGCTTAACAACGATACTTCACACCATTATGATTCTATGTCCCGCACTTATAATGTCTTCATATTTTCACCATTCTAATGTCATCTACACACTAAGACTTTATGACATTTACAAAAAATATATATGAGAGTATCATGTCATTGCAATTGCACTAGTCACTTCTGTCTAGGATTCGTGATGCTAAATCGGTGTCTATCTTTAAAAGATTTATTAAAGAGCACTACCACTATCATTCACTTTTAATTATTAAATTGTAATGTGTAGATGTGCTTAGAAGTAAAATTAAAAATATACAGGGTTATTTTGCAATAATCGGCCAAAGGAGAACGGCAGATTTTGTACCGCATAATTTTTTTGTTGTTTTGTTATTGAATTTGTACCACATATTAAGGCAACTAAGCTATTTATTTTTATGTTAGTGTTCTATTTTTAGAACTCCGGATTAATTAATAATATCAATAAAAAGATTGCAATAAATAAACGTAATGTAAGCGTAAACTAAACGCATTTATGTTTTTAGAAGTTGCCATATGTAAAATAACACAAATATCGAAATGATAATTATTTATTTAGAAATAGAAATAACACTATATATAATTAAACACTTATATATTATAGTTAATTATAGTGGAAACTGGTACCGATCACCGAATGGTTAGAGTCACACTAAACCTAAACGTTAAGTTGGAAAGGTTTCGTCTAATGAAGTCAACGCTCCGTCCCCCTCGTGCTCTAATCCAGAGTCCCGAACTTTTCAGCTCGAGTTACAAAACCGTTTTCAGTGCCTAGAAGACTGCAATGATGTGGACAATATGAATGATAAGCCCGTGGAAACTGTCCATGCGCTCGGAGCTAAGTTCTGCAAGACCGCCGCAGAAGAACACAAAAACTCTCCGATTACACTCTTAATCTCATGGCTGTTAGACCGGAAATGAAGCTATGGACTTCAGCAGAATTGACAGCGTACAGGCAACTAACTGAACAGACAGATCTCCAAATGCATGCGGCGGGACTTAAGCAACTTCATTACAGCTTGTATTGAAGAAGCGATCGACCGGAACCAAGGCTCCAGTCTCTGCCCGAGATCTGTCCGTCAGAAAAAGCTCTCCAGCACCTTAAAAACGGTAGGGCCCCAGGCGAGGATGGAATTACAGCGGAGCTTTTGAAAGCGGGTGGAAAACCGGTACTTGAAGTCCTTCAGAAGCTCTTTAATTCCGTCCTCCATGGTGGCATTACACCGGAGGCGTGGAGCAGAAGTGCGGCGGTCTTGTTCTTCAAGAAAGGCAACAACGCTCTCTTGAAGAACTACAGACCGATTTCCCTTCTGCGCCGCGTCTACATGCTGTTTTCGAGAGTCATTACGAATAGTCTCGCACGTAGACTCGACTCGACTCGACTCGACTTCCATCCTCCCGAACAAGCCGGTTTCCGAAGAGAATTTAGTACCATAGACATTGACCACATATACACCCTTCGGCAAATTGTACAGAAGACAGAATAGTACAATCTGCCACTTTGCCTTGCGTATGTGGACTATGAGAAAGCCTTTGATTGCGTCGAAATTTGGGCGGTGCTACAGTCCCTTCAGCAAAGCCAAGTTGACTGTCGGTATATCGAAGTGCTGAAGTGTTTGTACAGTAGAGCTACGATGGTTATCCGAGTACCGAATGTTAGTACGAAACTTATCCAACTGCAGAGAGGTGTAAGACAGGGTGACGTTATATCCCCGAAACTCTTCACCGCTGCATTGGACGACGTTTGCAAGCTACTGGACTGGAAAGGATACGGTATTAACGTCAATGGCGAGTACATCACTCATCTTCGATTTGCCGACGATATAGTTCTTATGGCAGAATCACTGGTGGATCTAAGCACTATGGTCAATGACCTCAATAGTGTCTCACAACGGATAGGTCAGAAATTAACTTTAATTATGAATGAATGTAAATAGTGAATAATAATAGTAAATTTTGATTATAAGACAATTTATCTTTCTTATGGATACATCGGAAGACACGTCCAATATAAAAAATTGTAAATGTTTCTAGACATATTACGATATTAATACAATTCTGAAAAACTTATTTATTCACGTGTTCCTGTAGCATTTTATATATATACCAATTATCAATCATCTAGGTCCAATAGTCTTTGGGAATTCAAAAAAATTCATTGACAAACTGATGACTGACACAGACACCGAAGTAACTCTAAGGCCGGCCACATACATACGGAATTCCGTTTCGGGATTCCGTTTCGATATTCCGATTCGGAATCCCGAACGCAGCAAGTCCATATAAAATCTATGACCCGCCACACACGTACGGTAGTTTTCCGTTCGATATTTTGCGGGCAAAACGGGATTCCGTTTGTGTGTGGCCGACCGTTCGAAATTCCGAAACGGAATCTCGAAACGGAATTCCGTATGTATAGAGCGGGCCTTAAAGTTATCGAATTTTGCTAAATTTGGCGCGGAATAGCATTTAATGAATGCCGCGTGTAAAAAGCTAGTAAATAAATAAATCAATGGGATCAGTGCAATAACTTATTTGTAACTTTATATGAGAATTATGTATTATTATATTATTCAATTGTTATTGATATAAAAGAAACTGCAACCTATCCCTTACACCACGTGCGATAATTGATAAAGGAGATTGTATATAATAAATTATCTTTTACCGCAACAAATCAAATATTTATTAGCTTATATACAAAAACCTAGATAGTATAAAAACAAAGGGTAAGCCACTCATTCCAAATTTCTTAATATACTTATATAAGTTCTTTACAGGTATCGATCATTTGCGCAACCCGCGACCAAAAACATGCACATATAGTGAAAAAAGTTACAGAAAAGTTCTTCCCAAATATTTGCAAAGTACATCAAGAGGTTTTGTGCACTTCAGAAAAATGTAAATGTTATTCTTGTAAAAACAATATGCATAAATAAGATATGAAAGACAAAACAAACAGTGTTTTTTTTTTTAAATTTAAACCATTAATTTAAAGAAGTTGTCCCTTGTTTCGATTATCCCTCTTACTTACAGCAATAGGCAACTTGAAGATGAACTCTGATTACAAAAATCAATTAGCCTTGAAGGTCACATTGCGAAGCTACAGAAATATAAGTACAGATTTGCCTAATCATAAAGCCATGGACTTAGGCTTTTAAACGACGCTCGCTTGCCCGGCTCGGCCAACCTAAATTGGCATTTGAGGTGTGCACTAATTCAATGTACTCACCTTTAAGAATATTTGGTACCGCTTCTTTTTTCTAAAATTGCATTTTTGGAAAAATACGGAATCAAAGATGGCCGTGCTAGTTAAATACTTTCAAGCTTTCAACACGGCTCCCATGTAATTAAAATACATCACATAATCTACGATTATGGACACGATTTATGTAAGTAAGTACCTACAGAAATGGATATTGTGAGTTTGTATGAGCTTTCACTGTCCCGTGCACTACATATAGGTCATTGCTATTGTCTTGACAGTGAGTGTTAATGTAACATGTACGAGTATGACTACAAAAGTCAAATTTCTTAGTTAATAATTATTATTTATTTATTCAAATAAGATTATTTATTCAAATATTCTACTTACAAATTTGCATTTGAAGGTCACATGAAGACATCGTAATACAGTAGATACTTAAACTAGGTTAAATCTGCAAGTGAAAGTACTTTCGTTGAGTTTAAGAGTACATTCGTTTAGTAAAAGTTGCTAGTCTGTTGGGGTTATTCCGTTCATCCACCCTAAAAATCAACCCTAAGGTGGATTATGGATGGGTGGGATGGATTATAGGATACTCGGAAAAGCATCTATCATAATCGGAATTTACTTTAATTTGATCTTCCGCCTTTTTACCCCAAGTTCAACTCATACGCTTTAATTATTAATTAATTTTTAATAACAGCTTAAACAAAAGTCATATTACGTATAGCCGTTACCGTTAGATACCGTTACAGTCCATGCATTACGCAGGTACCTATTTAATTAAACTTCCTCGTTTTAAATTATCATTACTACGTAATTTTTGAAATTCTGCAATCATCATCATCATCATCATTACAGCCCTTCACAAGTCCACTGCTGAACATGGCCTCCGCCAAGGAATGCAACAAAGCACGGTCCTGAGCCACCTGCATCCATCGACTTCCTGCATGTCTCACCAGGTCGTCACTCCATCTAGTGGGGGGTCGCCCTACACTTCGCCACCGGTTCGAGGCTGCCACTCGAGAACCTTTCTTCCCCATCGGTTGTCGGTTCTTCGAGCTATATGGCCGGCCCACTGCCACTTCAGCTTACTAATCCGTTGAGCTATGTCGGTTACTCTGGTTTTACTGCGGATATCCTCATTTCTAAGTTTATCACGCAGAGACTCCCCGTCCTCTCCATAGCTCGCTGAGCGACCTTGAGCTTCCTCATACGGCCAGCAGTGAAGGACCACGTCGTAGATCCGTAAGTCATCACTGGCAACACGCACTGATTGTACAATTTCGTTTACAGGTTTTGAGGTATGTCTAACGAGAAGATGTGTCGTAGTTTCCCGAACGCTGCCCAGCCGCGTTGAATCCGTCGACTGACCTTTCGATTGAAGTTGGACTTACCTAGTCGGACTATTTGTCCCAGGTAAACATACTCGTCAACAACTTCGAGCTTAGTGCTCCCAACAACTACCGGCATAGGTGTGACATGGACGTTAAACATGATTTTTGTTTTGTCCATGTTCATCTTAAGACCTATCCGTTGGGAGACACTATTGAGGTCATTGAGCATAATGCTTAGGTTCTCCAGCAATTCTGCCATAAGGACCATATCGTCGGCAAATCGAAGGTGAGTGATGTACTCGCCATTGATGTTAATACCGCATCCTTTCCAGTCCAGTAGCTTGAAAACGTCTTCCAATGCAGCGGTGAAGAGTTTCGGGGATATAACGTCACCCTGTCTTACACCTCTCTGCAGTTGGATAGGTTTCGTACTCTGGTTCTGTACTCGGATAGCCATAGTACAAGCATTTCAGCACTTCGATATACCGACAGTCAACTTGGCACCGCTGAAGGGACTGCAGCACCGCCCAAATTTCGACGGAATCAAAGGCTTTCTCATAGTCCACATACGCCAGACATAGTGGCAAATTGTACTCTTCGGACTTCTGTACAATTTGCCAAATTCATGCAAAGTTTCCGAAAGGGCTTTAGCACCATAGACCACATACATACACTTCGGCAAATTGTACAGAAGTCCGAAGAGTACAATTTGCCGAAGTGTATGTATGTGGTCTATGGTGCTAAAGCCCTTTCGGAAACTTTGCATGAATTTGGTAAATTTTATACGTGGTAGAGCCATGCTGCATCTATATTATGGTTGTAGCACGAATTGGTCGGCTCGACCGGGGAAGGACCACGCTCTCACAGAATACCAGCGTAAAATAGCAGCTTAACGCTGCTGTGTTTCGTATGGTGAGTGTAGAGAACCGGAGACCCTTTTTACTGGAAACGAGGCATTCCATCTTAGTCCTCACGGGTAACAACGCATCTGCATTTTGACTCTTAATCGAAGATAGATGTAGATGTCTATGGGCCACAGCGACCACTTACCATCAGGTGGACTGTGTGCTCGTTTGTCACCCTTATCCTATAAAAAAAAAAAATACATCTTTATACAAAATATTTTACATATACGGTAGGGATTGACTCAACTATATCAAAATTTTAATGTCGATATTTATCTTGAATGTTTATAATGAATCGATAGACTTAAAAAGAAAATAAATCCCCGGCTTGCGTTCTAAAATGTAATTTTATTTTACCGTTTGTCAAATAGATTCCCTCCAGATTCTATAATTAGAAAAAATGGTTAAGGTTCGTTGGACGGGTTGGTTGTAATGCAAAGAAGAACTCAACAATTTGCAGCAAATCTTTTCTTGAGAAGTATAAAAGAAAAAGTAGAATAAAAACTTCAAAATTTAACTTTCAAAACTTTAGATAAATATAGATAAAGGTTGAAATTTAGAATCTTTTGGCAAGAGGAGGGAAGAGGGTGAGAGGAGGAGAGGGGATGGGCGTCCCTTTACTCCCGACACCACTCCCATTAAAAGATAATACACTGTTCTTGAGAAAAATCAAAAAGAAAATCCCATAGACCTAACCTCAAAATGATAACATTTATAGTCTCCGGCACGAGGGGGAAAGAGGGGAGTGTGCCCTATCAGGGAAAGCCCCTCTACCCTTTCCTCCTTGCGGAAAAGTATAGTTTATGAGTAATGGGTTTTTTTTTAAAGTCATAACCTCACTTTTGTTACATAGGAATATTGACCCAAAGTTACTTCTACGATTCGCAGCCTTCGGCGCAGTAGGGAGTACAGCCCCTTCGCCCTTGCGTAGCGTAACCTTGAATTTCGCGCCTACGGCTTTACAAAAACACTCTAGGAGTAGGGCAGACAAGACGTGGAGTCGGGGCGTGCTAAGTCAATTTTAGTACAGATTAGATCAGATCAGATATTCTTATCTATAAAGCCAGGTTGCCTTCGCGCCCGCACATAGTTCTAACCTATTACAACTGAAAGTATATCTGGGTGTGCAAGTATTTCTGGGCTGTTTTAAACAATTCTGAAATAAAACAGTATAATATTATAATCATTTCTTATTTGACACTTGACAGAGAGTATAGACAGTAGAATAATGTGACACTAGTCTTACGTCCTTGTCGCACTTACACAAAATTCTGTGTGCTATCCAGATTTCACAGTAATATCGCATACGCTTTTTCCATGTTTTACGCGTTTTAGGTTATAATAGTTTTTATTTATTTATTCGATAACGGCGCATTACCTTTTAATGTGAGTGCTATTATTATAATCGGGGACCAAACCTCTATCAAATAAAACACCTTACTCCCACAAATTCCTGCCAAACGATTCTAAATCCCTACCTAAATCCAACCCTAGATAAATATAGAGACAGATTTTCATACATTATAAAACTGTAGTACATTAAAGACAAAAAAATCTTGAGATTATCCTCTTTAAGCCATTATAAACCCAACTAAATATCTATTTATCAACCAAAATAAATGTATAACCTTACTTTACCAGCCGCACAGCCTCACGGTCATACTAGTACAATATTCATAGCATCACGCTATTTTCCCCAATGGGTTGAGCGGAGCTTCGGAACTTCGGATTATATTCCAGTAGCGCCACTATTAATGTCTTGTACATGGCAACACTAGTTACCACTAGCACCCTCTAGTTTCGCGTAGCAGAACTAGGAGAGTCAAGATCCTTCTAGAAATTCCGGGACCGATATCTGAGGCCCTATATAAGGCCGGTATAAACCACGACCGAGTCAGTATTGAATTGGCGATACAAGCATATATTTCTAAGCGATACAACTGCTAACTAAAGTGATCTGTAGTACAATTGTGTTTTATTATTAGTGTGGTCTGAAGTTGTGATTAGTGTTCTTTATTTAATTAAAGTGTCAATTTTGATAATTCACTCGGCAGTTTTTAATAGTCTCGAACCCAAGCTCGTAACATTCCCAAGTCACAATGATACAACTTGTAGCGTAGTTAGGTATAGATACTTAGTAATGATAGTATGATAGTATAAATTCCATAGTATTTTATACTCAAAACGGTCGATGCCCAATTCATGCTTGATGGCTGACGACATTGTGCCGAGGGCTTAAATAGCTTGGTTCGTCGCCTACAGCGTTAGTCGTAGAGAAGAGGAACTCGTGGTTAAGTAATAGCTGCGCAGATCAATAGATCTGCGAGATTAAGTTGCACTTGCCGCGGTCAGTCCATGAATGAGTGACCATTTTCTTAACATACCGAGATTGAGAGAATAGAGAGTGCATCTGTATCCTCAGACACTTAGTCTACTTTACTGTGTTAAGATCATTGTGTTTTTAAAATGTATGCAGCTAAAATGATAATAAGTTTATTATCTTTATATATAAAAATTTAGTCACATTGTTTGTCCGCGATGAACTGCTAAACTACTGAACTGATTTCAATGAAATGTTCCACAATGTGTGCGGTTTGGTTCAACTTGAGAGATAGGATATTTTTTATCCCGATAAGTGACCCTCAATATTTTTTATTGTGAATTTAATGATTTTTTTAGAACACATGGTTGTTGGATAGGGCAGAACAACGTCTGCCTGGTCAGCTAGTTACTTTATACTTTTCAGGGACAGATGAAAGAATATAAACATGAAGCATGATGAAGCCTCATAAGCATATTGGCCTTTAAGCAGAGCAATCTTATTTAACTGATTCCTACAAGTTTCCTTCCTTGAATTATTAATTTTACATTTATACTTAAGTCGAATGTTAAAATAAAATTTTATAATGTATTTAATTATTAATAATTAAATGTTTATAATTATTACAAGTAATACTTATATGAAAATAAAGCAGCCTATTTATGTACTCCGTGTCCCCGTTTTTATTTCCCCATCAAAACATTTTATAAAATATGTAAAACATAAATAAGTATATACTTTGTTAAGTATCTTTTTTATTTCCCCATCAAAACATTTTATAAAATATGTAAAACATAAATAAGTATATACTTTGTTAAGTATCTTTTTTATTTCCCCATCAAAACATTTTATAAAATATGTAAAACATAAATAAGTATATACTTTGTTAAATATCTACCTATTTATATTAACAATATGTTAAAAAAGAAATTCCGGGGAAACTGCCCACGGCAGTAAATATTTTTCCAAAAAGATCATAGTTCGAAAATACAACTTTCCGGTCTGATTATTGGGGAGTTTTTGAAGTTTATCGGTAAATTCACCTGGGATTTTATACATTTTAATTGAAATCCAACAAAGGCAGGTAGGTTCAGCTTATTCCCAGGAACTTGTTACATGAATACTTTTTAATTATTTTAGAACTATTATGGTAAAATTCAGTTAATTTTCGAAGGTATTCAACTACATGCACTAAACACTTTTTTAAATCCTTTTACCGTTTCTTTAACAATCATTTTCGATAGTCCTTGTAAGTAAAATATACATCACTAGATAACGCACACAATCATCATCATCATCATCATTACAGCCCTTCACAAGTCCACTGCTGAACATAGGCCTCCCCCAAGGAATGTCACAAAGCACACAATAACAAATCAAAATTGGTCACGCGTTTTCGGGCTGTCAGGTGGTCTATACGCCAGTATATTTTAAATATATGCTTCTGGATTTTCCAAACTATTTTTTAAATTGAAGTTTGACATAAAATTATTGGAAAATTGGAAGTATAATTATAAGGTTATTAGTGAAAACTTGTGTGTATTTAAAGTAATTAAAAAATTACGTATAATCATGTTATACGTAATTTTTAATGCGCTTAGGGTATGCTCAATTGGATTTACTAATACTTTTGATATCCTAAGAGTTAATTTTATCTAAAGATTAAAAAATCGGCCGAGGAATTTACTTTATCGAGACTTAATTCGACCCGAACCGGTTTAACTTACTTTCAACCTCCAACATATGAAAGAGTAAAGATAGATTTAGAATTTTATCTATGACCTTCAGTGACACCAAGTGACACACATAGATAAATAAATATGTAGCAAGTGACATATTGAAATGTTAAAATTGGGATTCTTGATAAATTTTAAGTGAGAACCACCGGTGAGAACTACAAAATGTCGTCACGGCGATACGTTAGTAATTTCTTATTGTATTTTTATATGAATGCATAGTACATAGTGAACGGCATAGCACAACGGATCAGTACGCAAAGTGGACCGACCATAAAGCTCGATAAACCGACAAGCGTAGAGGAAGAAAGGTTCTCGAGTAGCAGCCTCGTACGAGTTGGTAAGACATGTAAGAAGTCGAGGGAAGAACGTGGCTCAGAATCATGCATTCCTTAGAAGTGGCCTGTTTTCAGCAGTGAATTTGTGAAGGGCTATAATGATGATGATGAAGATAATACATTCGATTATATATAAATTAATTATAGACAAAAATACATTACAAAATGTCAACGACCTTCAAAGGATATACCGTAAGATATCCATAGAAAGTAAATGTAACACATAATCCATCACTGATATTATTCTGAATATATTGATATCGGTTCAAGCTGAAGTGAAAAACGATGACGTCGCCGAAGGATGATCTTGAAGAACCCATAACCGTCGGTCATGGAAAGATTGTACTGCCCATAATAATTTTAATATTAGAACAAAAATAAAAGAAATTCTAATATCCTACCTTATAAAAAATTAAAATCATTCAATAATTTTCCAAAGAATTTGAAAAAGATTCAATCACATTTTATGAAGTTGGTTTCTCGATACTAAGAGTTCAGCTGTTATTGCTCCTAGTAAGTTAAAAAACTATTGGTAAATACAATTGAGCATGCCTTCGCATTAAAAAAATTATGTATAGCATGATTATACGGATTTTTTTAAAGTAGTTTAAATACACACAAGTTTTCACTAATAACCTTATCATACTTCCAATTTTCCGATAATTTTATGTCAAACTTCAATTTGAAAAAGTTTGGAAAATCCAAAATGCAGGACTCATAATGCTCATATGATCATATTATCATTCATGTCACTCCAAAAAGTCCAAGACGTATTCAAGTATAAATATTACACTCTACTTACTTTTAGTACGTACTACTATTATTTATTCTGTGCTTTTAAAATATTGTAATAAAAAATTCTGATTATTATAATAATCAAGTATGTATGAAATTTGTTTTTCGATAATTTTGTATTTATTTGTACAGCGATCTTTTTGAGCCGCTGCAAACAATCAATACAGTATCCACTCACAACGGCGGTTGACGCCGAACTAAGCGAGTGAGGTACAGGCAGTCTCTATTTACTGAAATAAATTCTAACACAAGGCTGCGAAAACACCGAAAATTTCGCCATTTTGGAGCCGAAAAAAATTAATTATAGCTAAACAAACAAAATTACACTGCCATTTACATTCAGTGGCTTCCCACGTGATAGATGAAGAGATTAAAAAATAGATTGAGTGAAACAATTGATATTTTCAAAAGTTATCGTGTTTACAAGCCTTGAGGACTTAATAAATCCACACCATGAGCCACTAAAACCCCTTTTTTATGTAAAAATAGCAATTAATCGATTTAAAAAAAATATTAATAAGTTCAACAATCATTTATCTTTCTAACAGTGTACTTTTTATATCATTTATATGTATAATATGAATGCTGGATACGATTTCATGCGACAAAACGTTGGAATCTTGATTTTTAGGCGCTAGTAGAACATACCTATGCGCTTTGCGCTCGGCATGCAATAAAGCAATAAACAAAGAACCTGTAATCAGATTTTGAAAGGCGCATATTCCTGTTAAAATAAAGATACTAGGCAAGTTATAGCTTAAGAGAAATGTTAAAATTACGGATTATCTATTTATTCGACATATTTTATTTTTCAAATGAAAGCGAAACACTGTAATCTGAAATGCAATACAGTTAAAATAACGGGTTCTAACACCGCACGAAACAAGTAGCAGGTACTATGGACTACAAATAATTGCTATGTGTCTACATGCAATTCGTGTCGTGCAATGTCTTAAATGTTGCATTGCAAATGGAATCTCTTGTGCCGAAGCGCTGGAAATATCAAGCAAAGCTTACGGTGAATCGACTTCAACAAAAACACGTGCGTATTAGTCGTACAGTGCTTTTAAAAGCGGTTGAGATGTAGTGGAAGTCTTCAAATGTCTGAGAGAGAGAGAGAGAGAGCCGCTGAAATTTTCCGTGTCTCACGAATAAATGTGTACCATTTTAAACGATTGTTAGGGAATGAAACGAATTGCTGCTCGATTAGTCTCGAAAGATCTGAATTGTTTTCAAAAACTCAATCGCGTAAAGGTCGCTGAAGACATAATAGAACGAGTCAATTCCAACCGCACATTCATAAAACGTATTGTAACTGGTGATGACATTTGACATGCAAACCAGTCAACAAGCTTCAAAATGGTGCCATCCAACTAGAAGGAAACGAAACAAGCACCTTAAAGTCGATTAGAAGTGAAGATGGTGTTGACAGTTTTTATTTCGATTACCGCGGTGTTGTGCCCTCGGGATTCTTGCCTTGGAATATTATCTGAGCGTTATGCGGCGTTTTAGAGAGTAAATTCGTCGGTTAAAATTCATGGGTTTTGCACCAAACGTATCATCTTACAACGCACTCATAGTGAACGAATTTCTGGCCAAAAGCTCAATAAATCTTATTTAACAGCCACCGTATTCCCCCTGATATGGCTCCGGCCGACTTTTTTATTTTTCCGAAATTCAAATTACCACTTCGAGGCACCCGTTTTCAGTCGATAGATGACATAAAAGATGCGGCGAGTACTAAAGTAGAAATAAAAAATGCGTTTAAAATGTTTTGATAATTGGGTAAGTTTATTATTTCGGAAGGGGCCTACTTTGAAGGCGATACAATAAATTTGGATGAATAATACATGTTTAGTGTTTTATTGACCAATTCCAAGTCATGGACATGGACATGAGAAAATCCTACAGAACGGGTATTTTTTTATTAAACAAAAAAATACATTATTTATGCCGCAGACCGCTGCACACATGGAACTACATCCCGATACCTTTTTTAGTACAAAGTCATATACAGTAAAAATAACAAAAGCCTATTGAAAAATCGAAAGACAGATACGACTAACATGCCGAATGAAATTATTAACACAGGATAGAGCTACTCGTATATACCCGTGGTCATTTAAAAAGCAGCTAACCCTGACATCCTGGTCTCGCAAAGCACACCGTTTGGCCCTGGGGAAAAGAATAGATAATAGTACAATTACTGGGCTTCATGTATATCATAGCCATAATGTGACATAACATTAAGCTGACTGATATATACTGTATAAATTTAAGAACGGTATGAGAAGAGTGATGACTTAGACGACGGCGTAAAATAGCAGCTTAGCACTGATGTGTTTCGTTTGGTGAGTGTAAAGAACCGGTGCCCCTTTTTACTGGAAACAGGCATTCTATCTTAGATCTCGAGGGTGACAACGCATCTGCATTATGATTTTAATCGAGGATAGATGTAAACGACTATGTCCACAGCATCCACTTACCATCAGGTTTTTTTCTGTGTGCTCGTTTGTCTCCCTTATACTATAAAAAAAATACTGTCGCATTTTTGTGCTTCAAACAAATACTGTATGTACGCAGGAAGGCTTCTTTGAAACTTACTTTACGTAATGAAGTCCTTAAGCAACTTAAAATTTCAACCAAAATATGCATTATTTTACTTATCTTTTTTTTAAACTACACAACACTATTTTTGTAAATAAAATTGATGTACAAATTATGTAATTTTATATAAAAGATGTGATTCTAAATAATCTATATATATTTGGATAGTTTGGTTTTTTAATTTGTGTTTAACTATATTTTTATGATAGCGACGTCTTAGAAACAAAATATATGTACCTTTTGTATACAGGAGGACTTCGATGAATTTTGCGACCCAGAAAACCCAAAAACAATTAAATACGAGGATATAGTTGACGCTGCCGGCCGAAGCCGACCACTGATAACAACAACACCATGTTATGTAAGCAAGTTACATATGCCTACTGACCTTGAATACCATCACGAAGGCACCTACCATACAGCACCGCCTGCTAAGCAAATAATACTCAACATAGTATAAAAACCAAGGTTTAAATGTTAAGATCGTCCATTATTTTTGTGAACATAAATTGTCAGAGTAGTTAAGTTAGCTTGTAAGTTAGAAAATAAAAGTAGTATAGGAAAAGTCTTCGTCTCCTTTCCATCAACCCTCCCTAAGCTGCTGCAAACGTAAGTAACACCCCATTGAAATTGTATTAAAGGCAATAAAAAAATACCTACAGCATCTGATTGTTTTTATAAGTAAGAGTATAGATATCCTATCTTAGTCCGGAGTGGCAATCCACATTTTATAACCGAGGAAAAAACTTACCATCAGGTGGACTGCTTGCTCGTTTGTCTACACAATTCTAAAAAAAAAAATATTAATATGTTCAAACGTGTAGTTATAGTATAAATATAAAATCCCTGCCGATCCGTGAGTGTCATAAGAATTGATTGAAAAAAAAAAAAAGTAAAAAGAAAGAAGCAGCATTTAATTCAATTGCCATTGCGGTCCCCTAGCTTGCGTGTTTTTGATCGTAAATATATTAATTGAAAGGACTTATTATCTATCAATGAATTATTATGGACTGTAATGATAGACATAGTAGTCTTAGCTGAGAGACTAAATAAGCGCCACCGTAAATTTCACCGTATGCAAGCCATTCAAGTTCGCGATCCCCAACCCCCGGCGGCACCAATGAAATTGTTAATTGCAACTTTAAGTGCTGATTTATCACGTGTTCAGCAGTGAGGGAAAACGTCTTAAGAAAAGCTGCATATCTAAGTAAATATTTCAAGGACATGCGAAGTCTGTCAACACGCACTGGAGCACCTTGTTGATCAAATTGTTCCATAATTTTCTCAATTTTGAGAGGTAACTTTTATTTAATATAATGATGATTAAAGCGGCAATTCCCAAGTACTATTTGTCACAAATATAATAATGTAATACAAATTAAAACAGATGTTTTTGTACTATATGTTTGTCCTTTCTTATAATTTTGTCCTCTGTTTTTACAGGAATCACAGTCGCACAATGGATTTGCTATGAATTTGCACTATAAACTGGAATTCGTTCTTAAAACTGGAAGGTAGGTATCTATGTTGATAATTCTTACAATTCTTATGTTGCTTGATTTCAGTAATGCGTTTAATATTGAAGATTTTGATATCTTGTTAGGCATCCTGCATTCTCTGAACATATCTCTAACTATAGTTGACTATTTTCAAAGTTACTTTTTTGGTCGCCGACAGCGCATTCATGTGCAAGATGTTTTTTCCAACTGGACTACTACAGCAGCTGGTGTACCACAAGGTGGTGTATTGTCTTCTCTCCTGTTTGCAATTTTCATTAACTCTATAAGTCATAATTTGTCCTCTTTCTACCACTTGTACGCTGATGATATGCAAATATATACTCAGTCCTCTCTTAAAGATTTGTCTAAAGCAGTTGACACTATTAACGCTGATCTGACTTGTATTTCGAACTGGAGTAAATGCTATGGTTTAACGATTAATCCTAAGCAAACTCAGGCTATTGTCATCTGTAGTTCTAGATTAGTTGGAAAAATTGACTAATATTTCCTGTTACGGCCTACGGCTGCTCCCTTAAAGGGTCCAATTCTCTGGGGCCCATGAGCAGAAGACTTCCCGAGCAGACGTAGGTCGGGCTTCAATGTGGCCACGTGGAATCTCTCGAATTACACTAAAATATATGGGGGAGCGTTCTATACTACGGCCAGTCGACCGGCAGAGGAATTATGCGGAGCTTACTTACCTATATCCAAGGCGACTGGTCCCTCCGGAGTCGGTCAGGTCACATGTGGTTGTGTAGTGAAAGGGAAATAAGTGATGTGATGTGTATCTGGGTGTGACTGATGGTGATTGAACCTAGACCTTGGCCGTCGGCAGCAGCCCGAGCGTCGACACCGCTCCAACTTGAGGGGGCCTTCCGAGGTTGTCCACAGTCACTTTCTTCTTTCGTCACGAAGACAGTCAATTAACTCTATCGTACGATTAACTAACTTACAGAAGCCACTAACTATCGCTGGGTATAAGGTTAACGCACAAAACGCACACGGAGTTTACGGATCAAAGGTCACGACCGTTTCGCGTAGCAACAGTTAGTTCTAGAATATCAGAGGCCGCACTAGCTAATATTGTCGAATGCACTTATACAGATTCTGAGTCGGACCCAATAAGTCCCGGGAAAGGCTATCCAAACAGGGAATGCGCGTTGTAATTCCTAGACAGGATATTTACTAGACGCCCTAACTATTCCGCGGTTCCCGCACAAAATTAACAGCGTGCAGACATTAGCACAGCTGGCAGACGACTCCTGCGCTTGCGACCCGCGCGCCACTTACCACGCTCGGCCGAACTTCAAACCGGTATCGCCGAGCCGCGCGCCCTCTAACGTCAATCCCGAAATCAGCGTTCGGGCGTAAACATTTCCTATCTTCTATTATACTTGACTGCACTCCAATCTCCTACAGTAATAAGGTTAAAAACCTTTTTTTTTTATAGGAGAGGGGGCAAACGAACATGCGGCTCACCTGATGGTAAGTGACTACCGCCACCCATGAACAACCGCAACACCAGGGGAATTGCAGATGCGTTGTCGACCTTTTAAAAAGAAGTAGGCTCTTTTCTTGAAGGTCTCTAAGTCGTATCGGTCCGGAAAATTCGCTGGTGGTAATCAATTCCACAAGGAAGTTGTGCGAGGAAGAAAACATCTTCTAAATCGCACAGTGGTGGACCGCCAATCATCCAGATGGTATTAATGGTATCGCAAGTTTTGTCGTGATGTGCGATGATGAAATTGAGTGACTGGAATTAGTCTGAACAATTCCTCAGAGCACTCCCCGTGGTAAATGCGATAAAATACGCAAAGAGATGCAACATCTCTACGCAATGCCAGTGTATCGAGCCGATCAGAAAGAACTCGGTCGTCGACGATTCGAACCGCTCTGCGCTGGATGCGGTCAAGTGGAAGGAGCTGGCACTGGGGTGCCCAGAGATGATAACAGTATTCCATGTGAGGCCGGGTTTGCGCTTTGTAAAGTTGCAAGCAATCTGCCGGCATAAAATACTGTCTCGCTCTGCTGAGCACGCCAAGCTTTTTAGAGGCCAGTTTGGCCTTCCCTTCCAAGTGACCACGAAACTGCGCACTATTCGATATGTCGACGCCGAGGATTCCGATGCTAGCTGAGGCAGCAAGGGGAGTGCCTTGAAACTTAGGAGATACGACGAAGGGGTTCTTTTTAGCGGTAAACGAGTTATTTATTTATTTTATACAACCTGGGGTTGTATCTCGATTCCTGTATGTCCTGGACCTCACAGGTTAATAATGTGAGCAGAAAAATGTTTGCTGTGTTAAGCTCTTTACGTAAATAACGTAATTTTCTTCCCACAGTAACTAAAGTTACGCTCGCCCAGTCTTTACTTCTGCCTATCCTTGACTATGCTGTCTTGACATTGCCGAGGAGTAGCTTAATAAGCTTAAGCGCATTCAAAAATTATGTATTAGATGTTCATATATGATTACATCGCTGAATTTCGCAAACAGCTCAAATGGCTCCCGATCCGCCTTCGCGGGAATACTACATTCTCTCCGCATAGCATGGTGTGCTGTTGAATCCTTCCACTCCCCATTATTTAAAAGACCGTTTGCAGTATCTTTCCCTTTCCCATAATCGGTTCCTTCAATCCTCTGTCAATCTTTCTCTCTCTACACCTTTGCACTCTTCCTCCTTTTTTAAGAAATCCTTTACTGCCACTGCTGTGCGCTTGTGGAACTCTTTACCTTCCCACATTCGTCGTGCTAAATCTCTTCATTCTTTCAAAAGTCTCGTCAAATCGTAGTACTTAAAACGCAATTAGATAAACTACTTTTTCTTTTTCGTACTCTTTTTATTTAATGTATTATATAGTATTATATATAATTTTCACTTTTCTTTATTTATATGTATTTTCATAATATTTTATTTTTGTGCGCCCCCCCTCTATTTTAACTATTGTTTGCATCAATTCTCTACACAAAGGTTGTATGGAAGAGATCACTTCCGAGTGACAAGAGTAAGACCGCCTGTTGTACATACTTTTTAACTTAACTAACTACGGTTTATCTGTACTCGTTACTATGTGGTAGTAAAATCGAGAATCCTTCTGCAACGTAATTTTAGTGGAATGGACAAAGAACGTCTTATTAAAGATGCTCATCTTTTGGATTGGACCGCTGTGGAAAATGCCAATACGGTCGATACAAAAGTTGAGTTGTTTAACTCTTTTCTCATACAACTATATGACATTCATGCTTCAGTAAAACCAATAAAGATGATGCACTCACCTGCGCCATGGCTGACCGATGACCTTAAACATCTTATTATCAAAAAAGGCTTCGCGAAAAGCAAACTCAAGGCCGATAGATCTGACAAAAATCTGCGAAACTACAAAAAAGTTCGGAATCGCTGCAATACATTGTGTAGGGATGCACAACGACGCCACATTCATAAATCAGTCGAAAACGGCGACACTGCCAAGGTTTGGAAATTTCTTCAATCACTTGGAGTTGGCAAAGCATCTTCTAGCTCATTTCAGCATCATTTTGATATTGATCTCATTAACCAACATTTTTCTTCTTCTAGTACTATAGATAGCTCAGTCAAAGAACGCACTCTGAGTATTCTTTTTTCAATGCCAACTCCTAATTTCCCACCGTTCACTCCTTTCACTGACTGTGATGTTAAAAAGAAAATATTGTCCATCTCGTCTAAAGCCGTGGGTGATGACAGTGTTAGTCGTAACATGATCTTACCAATCCTTGAATTTGTTACTCCCATTCTCACCCATATCCTGAATAAATCTATCTCAACGTCTAAATTCCCTGACGCTTAGAAAAGCGCACAAGTAATTCCTCTCCCTAAGAAGGCCTAAGCCTCACATTTTACTGACTTTCATCCCATTTCCATTCTTCCGTTTCTATCTAAAGTCCGAGAGAAACTAGTTTTTCACCAATTATGTCAATATCTAGATAGAAATTGCCTTTTAAATCCTGTTCAATCCGGTTTCCGGTCGGGTCATAGTTATATAGGCTCGAGCCGGGTTAGTACCACGACCTCACAGAATACCGACGTGAAGTGGAAGCTCTGCTTCCGCGTTTCGTCTGGTGAGTGCAGGTGACCGGAGGCCCAATCCCCCCCCCCCATCAACATGGTAGCGGAATTACATCATAAACTACCCCAGGAGGGTACCAGTACCCCTGGAGAATCCCTCGCTGAGCATTCACGACCATGCTATTCCACTCCTGAGCGTGGGTGCTCAGGCTGACCCGCGTATTCCGGGGGGGCAAAATTCCGCTCAACACAATAACTGCTCGGGCAACAAGACCAAGGCGACCCCTGCCACGCTATCCGTGAATTTCTGCAACATCAGGGGACTTCACTCGAACCTAAACGCCGTCCACTACCATCTCGAGACGGCGAAGCCGGCCTTGTTCTTTCTGACCGAGACGCAGGTGTCCTCTCCGGCTGATACTTCGTATCTCTCCTACCCGGGGTACAAATTGGAGCACTCCTTTGTGTCTCGGGCTGGAGTTTGCGCGTATTTCAGAGAGGACATCTGTTCTCGACGCCTCGGAAGTCTTGAAGGTTCGAACCTGTCCATCCTTTGGCTACGCGTAGACAGCGACGACCATCCGCGCGTCTACGTGTGCCTCTATAGGTCCCATAGCGGTAATGCCGAAACAGACCGACTCATCGACCACGTCCAAATGGCTACAGATTCCTTGCTACAACAGGTCCCATCCGCAGAGATCGTGATCCTTGGCGATTTTAACGCCCACCACGCCGAATGGCTCGGTTCACGTTTAACTGATCATGCGGGGAGATCTGTTTATGACTTTGCCTTGGCATTTGGTCTGACACAACTGGTTACATCGCCTACGCGGATTCCAGATGTTGAGGATCATACACCTTCCCTGTTGGACCTTCTGCTGACCTCTCATCCGGACGGATATCAGGTTTCCGTCGATGCCCCTCTTGGCTCTTCGGACCATTGTCTGACTCGGAGTGTGGTGCCACTCACGCTCCCCTCGCGGTTGCGTTCTGCAGGTTGCCGCCGTGTTTGGCATTACAGGTCGGCGGATTGGGACGGAATACGGTCTTTGTATGCTTCCTACCCATGGGGGCGGGTTCGCTTCTCACCAGATGATCCCAGCGCTGTTGCTGACTCTGTCACTGATGTGGTGCTACAGGGAATGGAACTATTTATTCCATCATCTGTGGTACCCATCGGAGGCAGATCTGAGCCTTGGTTTGGTCGCTCCTGTAAGACTGCATCACACAGTAAGCAGGAGTGTTATCAAGCCAGTTCAAGAAACTAGTTCGCCTTCCTCCAGGAACCCGTGCATTCTGGTCTCTCGCCAAGGCTGTCCAAGGGAATTTCTGTAAGCCATCACTACCATCTCTGCACAGGGAAGACGACTCACTGGCCCACGCCGCAAAAGACAAAGCCGACCTTTTAGGCTCCCTTTTTGCGTCCAACTCGACTCTTGATGACGGGGGGAAAACGCCGCCGATCATCCCGCGGTGTGAGTGCTCCATGCCGGATGTGCGGTTCTCACAGCGCTCGGTTCGCAGAGCACTCCTCTCCCTTGACATCCACAAGTCGAGTGGGCCTGACGGAATCCCCCCAATTGTTCTGAGGACGTGTGCTCCGGAGTTGGCACCGGTTCTAACGTGTCTTTTCCGGTACTCCTACTCCCTAGGCGTAGTCCCGAAATCATGGAAGAGAGGTTTTGTCCACCCGATCCCTAAAAAATGCGACCGCTCAGACCCGTCCAACTACAGGCCTATCGCCATCACCCCCTTGTTCTCCAAAATAATGGAATCCGTTATAAACTGCCACCTCATGCGATACCTTGAGGATCACCAGTTGATTAGTGACCGCCAGTACGGTTTTCGTCGGGGTCGATCAGCTGGTGATCTTCTGGTCTACTTAACTCATAGATGGGCGGACGCAGTAGAGTCCAAGGGGGAGGCATTGGCCGTTAGTTTCGACATTGCGAAGGCCTTCGATCGGGTTTGGCACAAAGCGCTTCTTTCGAAGCTCCCTTCCTATGGGCTTCCCGAGAAATTATGCAATTGAATCACCAGCTTTCTTGCAGATCGGGGCATCAAGGTCGTTGTAGACGGTGCATGCTCCGACTACAAGCCTATTAACGCTGGTGTTCCACAAGGCTGCGTGCTATCACCAACGCTGTTTCTTCTGCATATCAATGATATGTTGCAAGCCGGTAGCATTCATTGCTATGCGGATGACAGCACTGGTGATGCTCTATACACCGGCCGTACCATTATTGCTCGGGAAAACGTCACCGAGTACCGGAACAAACTTGTGTCTGAAGTCGAGTCTTTGCTGGACAAAGTCTCGGATTGGGGGCGACTAAATCTAGTCCAGTTTAATCCTCAGAAGACACAAGTTTGCGCGTTTACCGCTAAAAAGAACCCCTTTGTCGTATCTCCTCAGTTTCAAGGTACTCCCTTTGTTGCCTCAGCCAGTATCGGAATCCTCGGCGTCGACATATCGAGTGACGTGCAGTTTCGTGGTCACTTGGAAGAGAAGGCCAAATTGGCCTCTAAAAAGCTTGGCGTGCTCAGCAGAGCGGGACAGTATTTCGTGCCAGCTCAACGCCTGCAACTTTACAAGGCGCAGGTTCGGCCTCACATGGAATACTGTTCCCATCTCTGGGCTGGGGCTCCCCAGTGCCAGCTCCTTCCACTTGACCGCATCCAGTGCAGAGCGGCTCGAATCGTCGACAACCGAGTCCTTTCCGATCGGCTCGACTCATTGGCACTGCGAAGAGATGTTGCATCTCTTTGCATTTTATTTCGCATTTACTATGGGGAGTGCTCTGAGGAATTGTTCGGATTAATCCCAGCCGCCAAATTTCACGAACGAACATCGCGGCCGAACTCCCGATACCATCCACACCATCTGGATGATTGGCGGTCCACCACTGTGCGATTTAGAAGATGTTTTCTTCCTCGCACAACTTCCTTGTGGAATAGTTTACCACCAGCGATTTTTCCGGACCGATACGACTTAGGGACCTTCAAGAAAAGAGCCTACTCCTTTTTAAAAGGCCGGCAACGAATCTGCAATTCCCCTGGTGTTGCGGTTGTTCATGGGCGGCGGTAGTCACTTACCATCAGGTGAGCCGCATGCTCGTTTGCTCCCTCTCCTATAAAAAAAAATAAACAGCTTACTGTGTTGGTATTATTAGATTTTAGCAATGCCTTCAATACCGTTGATTTTGATATCTTATTGAGTCTGTTACGTTCCATTAACATATCTCCATCACTGATTGGATGGTTCCAAAGTTATCTTAGGGGCCGACGACAGCATATTCGCGTTGAAGATAAATTTTCATCTTGGTGTGAATTACGAGCTGGAGTGCATCAAGGTGGTGTGTTGTCTCCTTTACTCTTTGCTATCTTCATTAATTCGATCTGTCACAAAATTTCTTCTCTCTATCACATGTATGCAGACGATCTTCAAGTGTATATGCAATCAACTCTTGAGAACCTGCCTACCGCTGTTTCTGCCATCAATGCTGACCTGGCGGCTATTAGCGAATAGAGTAAGTACTATGGGCTTAAGGTTAATCCTTGTAAGTCTCAGGCTATTGTTGGTGGTGCTGGGATGATTTCAAGAGTTGACTGGAATAACTTTCCCTCGATGGTATTGAATGGTGTTGTAATACCTTACAGTAGCACCGTTAAAAATCTACTTCGATACTACTTTCTCGTGGTCTCATCAATTGAAAGAAGTTAGCTGAAAGACTTTTGCTGCTATGGGTTTATTGCGGCGTTTACGTTCTTTCCTTCCCATTCCTAGTAAAATTATGTTAGCACAATCTTTACTCCTCTCTATTCTCGATTATGCGGGCGCAAGCTAACTTGATTTAACTGAAGATGAACTAAACAAACATGAGCGTATTCAAAATCTGGCTATTAGGTTCATATTTGGCTTGCGTAAATATGACCATGTCTCCGAATTCCGTTTAAAGCTCAAGTGGTTACCCATTCGCCTTCGCCGGAACCTACAAATCGTTTCTCTTCTGTACTGTGTATTATTCGATCCAATGACTCCTATCTATCTAAAGGAAAACTTTAAGTTTCTTGGTCATGACAGACCGGACAGAGTTCTACGGTCAACCGGAGAACTTATACTCGTGCCACATTCATATCGAACTAAATACTTTAAAAACTCCTTCACATTCAAGGTCATCTGCTTATGGAATGATCTTCCTTCGCAAATTCGTCGTGCGAAAACACTAGAAAAGTTTAAGACTGACGTCAAAAATTACTACCTAACAGTGCAATAACAACTGGTCATCATTTGCGACGATGTATTTTTTTGTATCCTGTCTGTATTTATTCATGTAATTTTTATGTATATTTGTATATTTAATCTTATGTATGTATATTATATTTTGAATATATATATATTAGTGTATTAAATTTTTTTTTATTATGTATCAGTTTAGTTTATTTGGGTATTAGTATGTAAGTTTACTATAATATACCACCTCCCACTGTCCAATAGAACAACTTTCTCCTAATCTTAAGGTTGTCTGGAATAGAGCACTTATTAGCGATAAGACCGCCTTATTGTACCTACCTCTTAAGTTTTACTCCTTGTAATTTGTTCTTTTTTTATCGTTTTTTTTTTTTGGTGTACAATAAAGTATAAATAATAATAATATGTGTTTTGCTATACAATAAAAAATAAATAAATAAATAAATATGTTTGTTATTTTAAATTAGTCACAAAAGAAAACAGATAGATTGAAGAGATATTTATTTCATTGTTTTAATTTCAGTTTCAAAGAGAGGGGAGCTTTAAACGTTTTACAAATGCTCCCACAAGATAAGAAGAAAATTGGGGTAGTTTTGGCTTCACTGGGCAACCAGGCGATGGGTTTCTGCTACTACGGCGGCAAACTGAATATACCCGTTGTTGTTGTAATGCCAAAAGGTGTGCCACTTATAAAACTACAGATGTGTAAGAACTTTGGCGCAAAGGTGATTGTCGAGGGCAATGACCTACAAGAGTCTCAGAAATATGCTCGGTCTTTCGCAAGAGATAAAGGACTTACATTTATAAATGGGTGTGTACTTATCTTAATAAGGTAGTCCTAAACCTAGACTTTCAGTAATCTTATAAGTTACATACTAGCTGCTCTCCGCGAGTTCACCAATGACAATTTATTACGATTGGATTTCATGGGTTTTTTACTTTTTTGCGCGGAATCCTAATTCTTTTTCTAAAATAAAAGTAGCCTAAGTTACACTTTATAACATCAGCTATCTGCCAGTGAAAGTCCCGTCAAAATGGAACGATCCGTTTCGGAGATTACCCGGGTTTAAGAGCCAATGAGCGGCAGACGGCTTACGGTGACGGCAGACTTGTGAAGGGCTGTAGTAATGACGATGATGATGATAACCAATACTAAAGAACAGAAGAATATATATATATATATATATATATATATATATATATATATATATATATATATATATGTGTGTGTGTGTATTATTAATACTTAGAACCAATACTAAAGACAATATTTTAATTGATGTAATAGAAATTTTAATTTAATTTAAAGACTGGATTAGAACGAGTGCCATAGTACGCGCTTATGGACGCAACTGAAGTTCATAAGTTCATGGTCCGCTTGGGTGATAGAACCTTAATATATCTCTGCCATGCAAAATATATACGTCAAATAAACATCAACATCATATATAAATTGCAGCTTTATTGAAATAACGTAAATTATAAATAAAAATGTACTTGTCAACCTATCTGCCATGACCTTGGGACCGCCATAGGTGTCTGACAATGACAATGTTATTTTTTAATAACTTTTATTGAATATTCCAAGTACTCAAAGCGCCAGACTTATTACTTTCACGTTTTTTTTTTCGGTATTTTTTTACACCTTTCACACCTGAGCGTCTCTATATCAACCGCCGGTCAAACTAAAGAGTCTCCATTTCATGTATTTTGGGTATAGGGGATTAACTGAAAAAACGTAATGCCGTAAGTCTGCCGCTCACTGGCTCTTAAACCATAAATAATAATAGTCTATGGCAGTCAATTTGATTATAACAAACTGTTTGATAATACTGTTTTATATATAATTGAAGTGACGAAAGTCTTTCACAGTCCACCTGATGATAAGTGGTTACTGCAGCCCATTAACATTTGCAACCAACTTCAAACAAAGAAGGCTGCAGATGCGTTGTCACCACTGAGGACTAAGATGAAATGCCTCACATCAGTCTGTAATAATACTGGCTCTCGATACCCAGATCTGAACCACAGCTTACTTTACTAGTAGACTGAAACACAATGGTGCAGGCACTGCTGCTTGCCGGCATGAATAGCTTATCAAACAATATGCCTTTTTCGCCTCTTGCCAATACTCGCCACGCTGCAGACGGATTGGTGAGCGCTGTCTTGATAACCCCGTTACCGTTACAGTCTATTAAAGTCCACTGCTGAACATAGGCATCGCCCGTAGATTGCCTCCTAGGGAGGATATTTGTCACATTTGTAGGAAGACGCTGCTGCCCATCTCCTGATTTGTTACCCTTTGTCACCTCTTACGACACCCACTGGATTATTATCCCGTGGATATCAGAAATACCATATTGGTGTAGTGGTGGATAACCCCACACTGGTAATGCTGCTCTACATCACCAATGTTGGTTCGGAATTTCCGAACATAATATCAGGCGGTCGGTATAACAACTCCTTGATTAGCAGGGCGCCGCGTGCTTGTGAGGTTGGTATTAAGAGCACAAATTGTGACATCCCCTCAAACCCACCCAAAAGAAACAACATGTAACTAGTATTACTTATTGTTTATACAAATATAATTCTTATTTTCAAATTAGTAGAGAACCGTCCAACAATTTTCTTCGTCGTCTTAACTATATCTTTTAACTTTAATTTAACCTTTTCTTTAAGATACTCGTGTATTAATAACATCTATATTTTGTTTACAGTATTTTAACAAAGTCAAAACAATTCAATAATCATTATCTTTACGACTCATCTCACCTGATCATCCCCATAGGGTGCGCAAGACATGGTCCTGAACCATCACATTCTTTAACTCTGCATGTGATCATTCTATATTGCGTTAGCCAATCAAAAACCTTTTTAACCCCTAAGGCGTAACTCAATAAATTTTTAATAATTGTTAGGCTCCCATTTGTCAAGCATTTTGTTGAGACACTGCAAACCGCAGCAGGTTTGATTCGGGGGACGGACCAAGTATTTGTATGCCGTACAAATATATAGGCCTATGAAAATTCTCGTATGTGGAAACCTTTTAATTTCACCAAAAAAAAAAAAATATATATATATATATATATATATATATATATATATATATATATAATATTGACATTTAACTATTTATTAATACAGCCGCGATCACCCGCAAGTTCTAACAGGCTACGGAGGCGTCGCTTTGGAGATACTGGAGCAAGTGCCGACCGTGGACGCCGTTATAGTGCCAGTCGGTACAGGCGGCCTGGTAGCTGCGGTCACTACCGTCATAAAACACTCTAAACCAAACTGTCTTGTTTACGTTAGTAAAAAAAAATTATAAGTAGGTATTATCAAATGTATACTATCGCAGGTCAATTTTTAGAACTGAATTATAATATTCATAATTCGAATATTTTAAATAGCAAAGATGCAGCCCTCATAAGTTCCATTTTGGCAAAAAGAAAATGTAATTATCCCTTTCGGCGTTCTAAAAAAATAATCAGCAATTTGAAGAGGATTCTAATTTTTGTTATTTTGTATTCCCATTCCTGACTTCACGGTAGTATACTGAATAGAAAACTTTAGAAAAATTAAGTATACTAGGATACCTAAGAGTCGGCCTGGATAGACCTACCTCTTTTCTTTTCTTGCCGCTAATCAGCATTGTCTTGTCTGCGGTGGGTATATAAGTAAACGTGAATTAGTTTTTTAATATAATCTACGGGTACATACGCAAGTCCAACCATTTTTTAACTAAGTGAAAATTGACGATGCACCCGAAGAGATTAGGAAATCAATTAATTAAAAAAAAACATGTGTGCAGTTCACACGAGATAGAAGTGTAACCTTGAGAAAACTAAATTTCGAGAGAATTAAACGAATGCAGAGTATCATTAGGATAATTGTAGGGTTTATATAGGGAGTGAGCGCTTAGAACATTGTAACCGTTCCTCATTTTTCTTAGAAAGAGAGGCACCGAGTTTGGTATTTTATCCCCTTCTAACAATGATAAGTGTTTACACAAGATAAAAACATTACCAACGTTTAGACAGTTATTGACTTAAAGTAATATTTTAGACGTATGCTAGAATGATAATCTTACATTTTCTATCGCTAATCATAGTTGGTATATTCCATATTGTATTTTATTTAAGCTTATTATTAAGTAACACGAAAAAAAACACTAAACACTTTAATGTATGAAATTTATGACTCCAAATGTCAAACAATTGATGTCTAATGTAATTTTAAATGGAGAGAAACTGAGTCTTGTAGATACCACCATTTTTCTTGGAATCACAATAGATGCCAAGCTTCAATGGAGCCCCCATTTATCAAAATTAGCAAGCAGACTAAGCTCTGCAGCATATGCTGTGAAAAGTTAGAAGTCTTACCAGTGTTGAAACAGCTAGCCTAGTTTACTTTAGCTATTTCCATAGCATAATATCGTATGGTATTTTACTATGGGGACACGCAGCTGACACTGAAATTATATTTGTTTCACAGAAGAGGGTCATAAGAGCAATTTATGATTTAAAGCCTAAAGAGTCGCTGCGACAAAATTTAAGAAAATTAATATATTAACTTTGGCCTCTCAATACATTTATGAAAATGTAATGAACACACACAAAAATAAAAGTAGTTTTACAAAAATAACTGATATTCATTCTGTAAATAGTAAATACTAGGAACAAACACAAGCTAGTAGTACCAGTTACTCGACTCCATCGAGTCGGTAATTCATTCTTGGGGCGATGTCTACGCTTTTACAACAAAATTCCAGAAAATATACAAAATATGACCTGCTCAAAGTTCAAAAACTTTAATAAACTAAGTTTTTATAAAAAGGGTTATTATAATATTAAAGAATTTATGGATGATAATAACCCCTGTAAATGAGGTGATTGCTACCAAGCTATTTCTAATTTGTTGTGTTGTTAATTTATGTAACATACATGATTATAAGCTGTTATTTAAAAAAAGTTTCGCTGGGTTTCTTGCTGATTCTTCGCAGGACAGAGGTTATTTTTTCGAACGAGTGATAATTAAACAAAAGAGTGACTTTCAATAATTATTACTTATAATCTATATTGAATATAGTCCTTATGGCAGAATCGCTGGAGGACCTAAGCACTATGCTCAATGACCTCAATAGTGTTTCCCAACGGATAGGTGATGATGATGAAGATGAACATGGACAAAGCAAAGATCATGTTTAATGTCCATGTCACACCTATGCCGGTAGTTGTTGGGAACACTAAGCTCGAAGTTGTTGACGAGTATGTTTACCTGGGACAATAGTCCGACTAGGTAAGTCCAACTTCGACCGAGAGGTCAATCGACGGATTCAACTCGGCTGGGCAGCTTTCGGGAAGCTACGACACATCTTCTCGTCAGACATACCTCAAAACCTTAAAACCAAATTGTACAACCAGTGCGTGTTGCCAGTGATGACTTACGGAACTGAGACGTGGTCCTTCAATGCTGGCCGTATGAGAAAGCTCAAGGTCGCTCAGCGAGCTATGGAGAGGGCTATGCTCGGAGTTTCTCTGCGTGATAAACTTAGGAATGAGGATATCCGCAGTAGAACCAGAGTAACCGACATAGCCCAACGGATTAGTAAGCTAAAGTGGCAGTGGGCCGGCCATATAGCTCGAAGAACCGACAACCGATGGGGAAGAAAGGTTCTCGAGTGGCGGCCTCGTACCGGTAGGCGAAGTGTAGGGCGTACCCCCACGAGATGGAGTGACGACCTGGTAAGACATGCAGGAAGTCGATGGATGCAGGTGGCTCAGGACCGTGCTTTGTGGCATTTTTTGGGGGAGGCCTATGTTCAGCAGTGGATTTGTGAAGGGCTGTAATGATGATCATGATGATGATGATATATTGAATAAAAAAGTTTCTGTTTCTGTTATACGAATGTTCTTTCCCTAAAAACTAGGAGGTGCATTTTACGCTCTAGATGACAACACTATTTTAAAATTTGACGTTGTCAAATGAATTAATATATTACTTTTTTTTTTACATAGAATAGGGTGACAAACGAGCAAACAGTCCACCGGATGGTAAGTGGTTGCTGTGGCCCATAGACATCTACATCTATCCTAGTTTGCGAATCGAAATGCAGACGCGTTGTCACCCGTGAGGTCTAAGATAGAATTTTTTTTTTTTTTTTTTTTTATAGGATCGGGTGACAAACGAGCACACAGTCCACCTGATGGTAAGTGGCTACTGTGACCCATAGACATCTACATCTATCCTCAATAAAGACTCAAGATGCAGATGCGTTGTCACCCGTGAGGACTAAGATGGAATGCCTCTTAATGCCTCTTTTCCAGTAAAAAGGGTCTCCGGTACTCTACACTCACCATACGGAATACATCAGTGTTGAGCTGCTATTTTACGCTGGTATTCTGTGAGTGTGTGGTCCTTCCCCGGTTGAGCCGACCCAGTTGTGCTACAATTATAATTCTTATATAACTGCAGCATGGCTCTACCACGTAGAAAACGCCTTGTGCTAATCATTCGCTAAATCTATGTGGAGTGCACTCACTTAGGGAACTTTAATTCAAGTTTAACTTTTTTTCGGAACAGTAAAGAGTTTACAGGTTCTTTTTATCATCCACACGTCAATGGGACTCTCAGAGACAAAATGAATTGCTCATCATCAGGTTGTTAAACCACTGCAGAATCATTTAAAAAAAAACTAGTATAAACACTCGAAGATATATATGAAAAGCAGTATCTACACTCTTACCAGCTTTGTGTGACTTTAGTTTTTTATGTTTTCTTGACATCTTTCCTTTTGGTGTAAAATCCTAATAGAAGTTAGACACAAAAGCAAATACTAAATGCACAAAATAATACTACTGAACAATGGATGATATTCTCGTAACATTTAGTGTTGGTCAGCCTTACACTCTGCTAACGTCATTAGATGAAGATCTTCAAATAATAGTTCAAAATCTGACAAAAATCTGCGATGATTTTTCTGCAGGATATTTAATTTTGGAGACTTCACGACCGGAAAGCTACCAGCATTTCTTCCCAAGAAGCGGTTCAATGTAACTCATTGGAGCTTTTCTCGCAAAATTGGGCTATTCTGAATCTGTTCCAAATCTAACGCTGTGTCTAAGATTTTTTTTACTATTAAGTTTCATGTGAAGGAAGCTTATCAAAACTCAAGTTAATAAAATCTAACTTAAGGTCCACAATGAGCCAAGCAGGACTAACCAATCTTTCCATTTTATAAATCGAAAATGACAAGAAAGTAAGCCTTGAAATATATTAGAATAATTTAGCAAAATAAAGACCCGTTAGCATGTATAGCATTTTTTGTTTTATTTTGGGGGATGCTTGATAGAAAACCGCCCTGGGTGTCAACCCACGCTACGCCGCCACTAGTTACCGTAAGGTTTGATACTGTAGCGAAGCAATAATGTTATCAAAATATTAAACGGAGTTTAATTATAACACTATTCAGCACTTTCCATATTGAAAAAAATACGCATTTCGTTTTCCGTGATGCTGTATACACTAATAATATTCTCAAAATATTGTATCATGGACACTCTATTAGAGAGAAATGCAACGCCTAACTCGGTGCCTTTCATTCATTACAAGGTCACTGATTTAGGAACATTTCTCTAGTATGAAGTGCGCACTCCTTATATTTTACAATCTCCTTGCTAAATCCTATAGATGTATGTATGTTTGTCTCTTTTTAGTGTCGCTTTTTCGTTTCATCAAGTTTAAATACACAACGATTCTAAAGAAGTTTTCATATAAAAAGATACTCTGTGGTTTTCATTTCAAAAACTTTGCTTTAGGGTGTCCAGTCGGAAGTGATGTCAACATTTTACGACTCACTTGAGATGGGGGAACGAGTGACAAAACCGATGGCGAATTCTCTCGCGGAGGCCATAGCGATGCCTTACGTAGGAGTTAACGCCTTTAGTACCGCTCAACCCCTGCTGGATAAAATGGTAACATAAAAAAGTTTCATATTTTATTTTTTTAATGAATTACTGTTGTTCTTGCATGTACGGATTTTATGCATTTGCCCTAATCTTCATTAACAACTTCGAGACGTATAGCTACCGGCATTGGTGTGACATAGTCTTTGCCTTGTACGTGTTCTTATACTTTAGTTGGATGATATGGAGTTTTATTTTTATAGAATATGGATGACAAACGCGCCACTCTATAGTAAGTGGATGCTGTAACCTATAGACGTCTACATTTATCCCCACTTAAGAATCAAAATGCAGATGCGCTGTCAACCCTGAGGACCAAGATGGAATGCCTCGTCTTCAGTAAAAAGGGTATCCGGTTCTCTACACACGTCACACAGCAGCGTTAAGCTGCTATTTTACGCTGGTATTCTGTAAGAGTGTGATCCTCCCTCGGTCGACCAACCCATTCGGACTACAAGCATAATAGAGCTGCAGCGTGTCTCTCCCACATATAGTTCATGGAACATAGTGCTAACGTTGCCATAATGACTATAACGTTATTTTGCAATCATTGGGGGAGGCGTCAACTTGTAAGAGGACTTAATGACGATGATTATGATATGCAATGATCTAATAAGTACCTGGACGACGGAACTTTGTTTGGAGTTAAAAAAAATTATATTTATTTATTATTTATTTAACAATTTATGTACACACAAAGTAATGTTACAATGAAAAATAAAAAAATAAATATATATTGTACAAAGGCACTATATAATTTTCTATCGAGCAAAACTTTGTTTCTTTTTTTATACAAAATTATTTAAATACAAAATTACATACAAACCATTAGAGCCGTTTACGAGAAAACATTTACATAGGTATACAAAATATGCCTATTATATAAATATTTTTCTTTTTTATTTTCATTATTCGACAAAGCATTAAATAGGTTTAATTGTATATCGATAAAACAATGATTTTCAGTATGAATAATCAACAATGTAATCAAACATTTTTTAACCAAAGTAAAGTCCACTGGTGCACATATGAGTCTCTTCCGTAAGGCCCAATTTACACTGCGGCGGAATGGAAGCGTCAATTCCGCCTCGTAGTCCGGGAAACCGCGCGAATTACCGAATACCGCGACTACGCCTCGAAGCTAACTAAGTGGCAGCGAGTGACGCTTCCCGGCTTCCAGCGGATTCCACAACCTTCACGCCGCTTCCCGCGGATCCCATAAACTGCGCCAACAGTAGCTAGGGGAATCCTCGAGAATTCCACGGAAGACGCGCGACTTTTTTGTGGCTCATATCTAGTTTGAACTTTATACAATTAACATAAAATTCGCTTCCGTTCCGTCCCGCGGCAGTGTAAATTGGGCCTAAGGGAAGTTTCTCTTAATCGGCACGCTTGGCAGGCGGAATGCCAATCGCTGTGCCAGACGTCTCGCACCTTTGACACTGCTGATCGTCACCGCTGTGAGTATTTTATGTATGGCGTAAACGAAATGATTACACCGCCGTCTATAATGTGATTTTTCTAGTATTTTCGAATACATTGACGAGATGAGGTGGTGGACATACTTACGTCACCAACTCAAGACACCGGTAGTTAGAGAATTGATTTTGAACTATAGTGTATAACTGGTTTATACGTATATCAGTATTTCAATAATAACGCAGAATTATTTAACAAATAAAAACATTATTAACATTACTACTAAAGTCGTTAATTTAACAACCGGTTACAGATGTTAGTAGAAGAGGACTGGATAGCTCGAGCTGTGTTATATCTGGTTGAGAAAGAGCGATTTGTGGTTGAGGGTGCTGGTGCGTGCACTGTGGCCGCAATCCTTAGTAGTCTTGTACCAGAACTGAAGACAAAGAAGTAACTTATATATTTGTATAAGACATATTACCACAGATTAAATAATGTTACTAATATTACGAACAATAACTAATAAGTATAGCAAAGCCTTTCAAATTCCAAATATATGTATGTAAAAATAAAATCGGCTTAGTGCGAGTCCAAGTCACTTGTCCGATTTTTATTGAAGGGTTCCGTACCATCACACACGTTTCTAGTAGGGGAGCCCCGTTTAATTTTTATTTTTATTTTTCTTATAGCGGCAACACAAATACACATTCTGTGAAAATTTCAACTGTCTACCTATTACGGATCATGAGATACAGCCCGCTGACAGACAGACGGACGGACGGATGGACGTACGGACAGCGGAGGTTTAGTAATAGGGTCCCGTTGCTTACCCTTTGAGTACGAAACCCTAATAAAGTGTTTAATTTCCCAATATTATAAATAGAGAAGAGAAAGAGAACTTACAAATAAATTAATATTATAAAGAGTATAAAATTAATATTATAAGAATTAATTAATTTTTTTAATTTTCACACTTGACTTCTAATGTCAGGGTAAGGTCCCACGTTACTACAGTGCAGGTAAAGCCTCGGTCACACATAGCGAATACTCACAGCGAGAATTCGCTGTGTGTGACCGAGGCTATTCGCTGCGATTAGATTCATTCGCCGCGAGTTGAATTCGCTGCGAATTGAATTTGGCCTTTCTCAAAAAATAAAATTTATGTCAAAATCAATCAAAATAAGTAGGTAATGCTAAAAGTTACCTTCTCTCTCTTTTCATTAAATAACAATAAAAGTAGACAGGTATAGAGAGAATTAATACAATTTCTGTAAGTGATACTGATAATCAACGATTATAAATTATAAGTAAGGCCATAAATATACATTTTATCTTGCGACGGCGAGTAAGCATTTTTCTTTAAAATGTTATTAGATGATACTATAATACTATATAGGTTAATCAATAAGTTTTCGGAATATGACACTAACTTATCAATGAGTTCTAGAAATGCGTTTTTTTCGCATCTTAAATTCGTTAGTAAATGACAGAAAAAACTATATTAAAAATTACAACCAATTTTTTTTCAAACTTCATATTTGGCGGGAATTTGATTCGAATAATAAGATCCCTGCCCGTCGATCTAATGTCGCAGGCGCTGCCATCCGAAATGCTGGGTTTCAGTTGATGCAGTACCCACCTTATTCTTCGGACTTAAAAAAGCAATTGCGTGGTATAAAATTCGACGGCGGCGATAGATGATGTGTGTTGTAGGCCTTTTTCAAGTCCCAGGATCAAGCCTTTTTTTCCAAGGAATTAACCAACTTGCAAATAAATACAATTTACTTATCCTAGGGTTTACTGCGTTTTCAAAAACTTATTAATTAATCTAGTAAAAACCGGGACTGGCTCAAGAACACTCTAGAGACGGCTATGGCATTATTTAAAGCACACTGACTTAACCAGTCAATTAATTCAAAAAACTAGCAGTAAAGTTGTGGTGAGCCTGTATAGCGTAAGATCACGCGACTACAATGTACCTAGGTACCGCAAAAAATATTTACATTCACGCGAAACTTTTTGTTCAATTTTAGCTTTGTTGCTTGCGCAACGAACATAAATGTTATGTTTAACAATTTGGAACTGGAGAACTGACAAACATTTCAATAATTTAAATTTTTTTAAAGTTTATAGCTCCCGTTTATTACGAAGAAAATTTTTTACCATCAGGTGCTTATGAAAGATAAAAGAACAGGAATCCAATTTTTGCCGACTTCTAAAAAGAGGCGGTCGTAAATTCGACTGTACGGTTTATTGTATGTATGTTACGCGATATTATCGTCAATAGTGAACCAATTTTGTTATTCTTTTTTAATTTAATTGGTCAAGGGCTTAGAATAATAACACCTAGAAGCCGAGTCCGCGTCCGTAATGTGAGGCAACTCAAACTAAGCCAGTATGGCTTAGTTCAATACTCGGCCCGTTAGTGCTCAAAGTCGTGTCGTGTTGACAACAGCTCCCGAGATTTTAATTAAAAATGACGTTTTATGCAGTGAACGGATGTCAGTACATCAGAGGAACACAAGAAACATAGTAACATTACATTTCACGAGTAAGTAATGCTTTTGAACTTATATTTTTACGTAAAACATTCATCAAAAATAAATATGAATTTTTAAACCTGACATATGACATTATATGGAAATGTTGCCAAAGTGAAGAAAAATTCTCCCACCTTTTTTATTTAAAAGTAAAACACGTCAACAGTAATTAAATAGAGTGCGTAACGCAACTTGACAACTTATTACTACCAGAGCTGCCAACATTGAAAAAATGCAACGTATTGTTTTATTTATCGACGGCTCCGTGGCGCAGTGGCTTAGCAATGAGTTATTGCGCTGGGGGCCGCGGGTTCGAATCCCGCACGGATCAAGTATTTGTATGCCCTACAAATCATTGTTGCGGGTCTGGATGTTTGTCCTCGTGCAATTTATTTTTAAACTGTCTCCACGATGCAGGAGAAAATCCTAGTGTGGGGGTAACGTTTTAAAAAAAAATTTAAAAAATATGGATGACGAATTTTAAGGAAACTTTTTATATGGTCTGATAATAAATGCATGTTTGGTTTTATGTTTCTTTCTGATCCGATCATTGCGGCTTGTGTAGTTGGAAGCCCACTAAAAATACAAAAATTTGTTCTTTTCATTTTTTATAGGATACGGTGAAATACGAACACATGGTCCACCTGATGGTAAGTGGATGCTGTGACCCATATACATCTACAACTATCCTCAATAAAAAGATGCGTTGTCATCCCTGAGGACTGTGTAAAACCTACCAAAATTAAAATGTTCTTGTGTTTTTCGTATTGTAACTTACATTATGCATGTAGTGAGGTGCGGTACACCATTACTCGACGATTATTAAAAAAAATTGTTAAAAACAAACTGAATAATAGATACTGAATACGGTCAATCAATCGGTGTCAGGCATCGGGCGGGTGTATATCGAACTTGCATTAGCCATATAATTATAACGTCTCTATACAGTTACAAAGAAAAATATGATGCAATCACATTTATATGGTTCATAAAATTATCTCACTTGGCTAGATAGGCAAATATCCTATCCAAAAATATTGTAAATTTAGCGGGCTACACTTCGATAATAGAATTCAAACAAACTTATTTTCACATTTGTGTGAGTCATACGATACGTTGTAACTATTAGTACAATATAGTTTCAACTTCCCTGGTTTTGGGGAAAATTTAATGTATTGGCAACATTATTTCTTCACTTGTGTGCGTTTCGTCTAGCGTAAACACAAGTTGATAACGCACACATAGATTTTGTTCTTGCCCCACTTTTGAACGTCCGCTTTGTAGGGAACTATCGTTCTAGGTGTTATTATTCTAAGGTCAAGGGTGGTAAAAATTTCGGGAGAAAAATTCTACCCCTAAGGGTATAAAAATTGGAGGTAAATTGTTCCATGTAACTATTTATACGAAAATGAGATCTTGATATTGCTTAGTCCACTCGGGAGATATTGCTTAGTACAAGGGTTAAAAAAACCGGCCAAGTGCGAATCGGACTCGCGCACCGAGGGTTACGAACAAATCCGTAGGTATATAAGTTTAAAATTATTAAAAATATTTTTATTATATGATGTAACCAAAATTTATGTTTTTCGCAATATTTTCCTTTATCTGTGCTGCAATACGTTGCTTCGTACCAAATTTTAAGATTCTGAGTTCACGGGAAGTACCCTGTAGGTTTTGATTCCCTTGCTAATGTCGAAAATTTGCCGCATAAACAGCTGTATCTTTGATTGCGTTGGCTTAGCAGTTTGATTTTTTCACAGCTCCAAGGGACAGTAGACTTGAGTATTTGATATAAATTTCAGCTTGATACCTCAACGCGTTCCTGAGAAAAAGGGTCTTGACAGACAGACAGACAGACAGACAGACAGACGGACAACAAGTGATCCTATAAGGGTTCCGTTTTTCCTTTTAAGGTACGGAACCCTAAAATTAACTTTTTATAAAAATCCGACTACAAAGAACTAAATATACGGTTTAGAACAAATTTAGCGCCATTGGATACCTATGTGGCGGCGCTGTCATCGCGCCACAAGCGAAACACATCGAAGCCTAATTCGCACTAACAAAGGTCCGAAGTTGAAGCAGCATATATAGAATAGCTCCGAACTACCAATCGGAGCTTTGGCCGCTCCCCGGGCAGAACACCTTGCCCGGCGGGAGATATCCCCTTTTTCTTCCACCCGCCACAGTGGTGACCAACCGACGTGATTTAAACACGCAACCAATAACCTTCGGAACTTCAAAAACCTTCGTCATCGTACTCAAGTACCCCATTCAATCGTTCCCGAGCAGAAATTGTCTGCAGTTTTCACATTCTGCGAGCCATCTAGCTTTACAAAGGTTCATCGCAGCACTGGAGTAATAATGCTTCCTGTTCCTTCAAGCTACTCTCTACGCTACAGTGTTCGGCACGGCACTGAGCCTTACTGCTCGCTTCTGCTTCACGGCACTCTCGCAGATTACTTGCCTTCTTTTCGACTCAACACAGACTACAAGGCAATCCCTGGCACTTGCTCCGGCTCATCGTTCTCACCGGCATCACTTTTAAGTGCGTAGTACGGCATGCATTACACACCGGCGTCACTTGCCCTTACGCACACAGCATGCATTCCCCACCGGCATTAAGGACACACCGGCAATCAGACTGCACTATCGACCTCCGGTCTGAGCAGGGGGGTGATGTGGCGGCGCTGTCATCGTGCCACAAGCGAAACACATCGAAGCCTAAATCGCACTAACAAAGTTCCGAAGTTGAAGCCTCATATATAGAATAGCTCCGAACTACAAATCGGAGCGTTAGCCGCTCCCCGGGCAGAATACCTTGCCCGTCGGGAGATCTCCCCTTTTCCTTTCACCGGCCACGCCTATTTCACTTATAATATCTTCTGCGCATTTGTTAGACGGCAATATTCAGTTATAATTTAGGCCTCAAGAAGACATCGTAATCATTTACTTCCAAAAAGAGACAGTACTCAATTCGACTGTATTTTATTTGTTTTTTTTTTATGTGTGTTAACTCATAACTTTGTACTCGGTGAACCGATTTCCATGATTCTTTTTTTATATGAAAGCTGATAGTTCTTGTATGGTCCCATATATGAATTTGATCAAGGTCAGACCAACAGTTTTTGAGTTATTCTTAAATAACTTATATTGAAGTACAAAATTTTTAATTTTTAATTATCAGTTGTTTACTACTATGTTTTTATTTTTATTTTACAAGATTGAAGTGAACTTAAAAGTCCACCTGTGTTAAGTGGGTACTGCCGACCATGGTCACCTGCAACCAACTTCACGCAAAGAAGGCTACGGATGCGTTTTCAACTAAAGGACAACCATAGATATAATAAATTTCTATGACTAGAACTAAGATGGCATGTCTCTCAGCTTGTAATTATACTGGCTCTTTATATCCTTCACACCAGAATAATTTTATATTTCACTTTTTATTTTTTCCGGCAAGCCATTAATTGCAAATAAAATTCATCATTATTTTTTTAGTGTCGTGTGCATCTTAAGCGGAGGTAACATTGACGCCACATTGTTGACTCGCTCTATAGAAAGAGGACTTGCGTCTGAAGGTCGAATGGTAAAATTTAAGGTAAGCCCTTCTGTTTTCTTTTTTAAAAAATTTGAATTTAATCACCTAAAAACCTTTTTGGTAATCTATACTAACCAAATATCGAAATTACGTTACACCGAATATTACGATACGAACAAAACTTCGAAATTACGATACACCTCATCTGCCATACCTACTTCAGAATGTTTAAACAAAAGTGTACATACCACCAGTACGTGGTGCGTGATGTGGCCAGTGATGACTTATGGAACAAAGACATGCCCTTCTTAGGCCTAGTAGACTTCGTTGTCGTGTAAATTTATCAATCACTTAATAAACTATTCAATGTCTGTCATTCAAGAGCCAGTATAATTACTGGTTGTGAAGCTTCCGTCTTAGTCCTTACAGATGACAACGCATCTGCCTTCTTTGTTTTAAGTTGGTTGCCAGACGACTTACAATCAAGTGGACTCCAAATTCGTTTGTCACTTCTGTTTTATAAAAAAAGGTGGTAAAGTGTCATCTAGAGAATCGATAACCAAAGAGAAAGACACGTCACCAGCCTCATAATGTAGGTCAAAGGTTTTAGATAAATGACGACCTGATGAGAAAGTCAGTGGGCGATTTCAAACAGTCCAGACCACAGTAATTTATTACTCGCTACACGCAAAATATCCAATACATATTAATCGCATTATCATTTGTATTAAATTATGTTTGACGGCTCCGTGGCGTAGTTGCTTAAAATTGTGTTGCGGCGCTGAAGGCCGCGGTCTTGAATCCCAAATGGCAGAAGCATTTTGTAAGACCTACAAATAATTGTTACAGGTCTGGATGTTTGTCTTTGTGCAATTTATGTATGTAGACTGCCTTCACAATACAAAAGAAAATTATGGGGGTAATCATAGATTAATGATAAGTCATCGCGCGCTCTGACTAGGCACCGCGCTCCCTACAAGTAACAGCTCTATGAGTGCGGCATCTTAATATTGTAGTGTGTATAAGACAATTTGCATGATGCTAGTGTACGTGAAAAATTGTATATGCCAGCAGATTAACTATTACCCGATTAACGGGAAAATTTATTTTATGCTATGGCTTAGTAGTTAAGTTCATAGTTATGAATGTATTCCAGAAATACTTAAAGATGAATAGTTTATTAATAACGAATGTATATTATGTTTAGGTTTTTCTTCTGAATAAATGACATATAAATGATAAGGCCTCCTTTTTATCAGTTTAATTTTTTTATTTACATGTCTAACTAATATTCACAAATTATTTCAAAAAATAGTTATATATTATATGGTGTAATCAAAGTAGTGCTTTCTATTCTACGCGTCAATATGAACAACTTTTACTATAGATCTATCTTCCAAATCGCAAGAAAAATCAGATCTGACACTGACTTTGAGATATTTTTTATAGGATCAGGGTGACAAACGAGCACTTAGTCTACCTGATGGTAAGTGGTTGCTGTGTTAAAATGCAGATGCGTTGCAACCCCTGAGGACTAAGATGGAATGCCTCGTTTCCAGTAAAAAGGGTCTCCGGTTCTCTGCACTCACCATAGGAAACACAGCAGCGTTAAGCTCCTATTTTACACAGGTATTCTGTGAGAGCGTGGTCTTTCCCCGGTCGAGCTGACCCATTCGTGCTACAAGTATACCAGTAATATAGCTGCAGTATGGGTCTATCATGTATAAATTGAAAATTTCGAAGATGATCCCATAATAAAAAATATTCATGATGACGTGCAGAAACATTCCCTAAGTTATTAAGTACTATTTTGTTATACCTTTAGTTAGTATATAAGACCGGGGAAAAAGTTTCTTCGTATATTGTATACAAATTCAAGACGTTTTTGTTTTAAAGTTTTATTACATTTAATTATAATATATATGGGTCCTTTCTGTTCGATAATTTGTTACCATCTTGTAGGTAGTGACATAATAAAAAATAAACGTTGCTGTAGAAATCTTGGGATTTTGATTAAAAAAATGCGACAAGTAGTTTTATTTTATATATTCAATACCAGAGATTTGAAAGAACATAGATTTAGTCATCCCATTTATAATGGAAAAAAAATTATAAACTTAAATATTAAAACCTCCAGAAAGCTTTCTTTTAAAGAACACAAGCAACAAAAGAAAATAATGACTAAAACTTTTAAACCAGTTTTAAGTGCTCAAGCAAATACTGGATTTTTAGGAATGTTAGTGTGTATTGAAAGTCTCAAACAGATAACAAATCTTGTGATCTGGCGTCATCATGATGAAAGACCACTCCTTTTCTGATTATCAATGCCAGCCGTTTTTTTTTTCTATTTCTTGCTTGTCTCATTATTTATTGGTAGTAGAGATCCGAATCGATGGTTTTACCCGGCGGTAAAAGCTTATGATAAACTTTTAATCCCACCATACACACAGCATCATTTTATTGCGTGTTAATCCAGGTTTCGCTTTAGTCTGTAAACAAAACACATATCAATACAGAAAAAAACACGTTTCTTGTATGGTGTATACAAGAAACGTGATTTTTTTGGGTCCTTTAATATTTTACTTGTTTTCTTGTTTATTTTATGCTGTTATAGCAGCAATATAAATAAACATTCTGTGAAAATTCTACATATTACGGTTCATAAGATATAGCCTACTGACAGACAGACGGAACGATAGTAGAGACTTGGGTCCCGTTGATACTCTTTGGGTACGGAACCCTAATAAACGGCAACTGTCATTTAAGCAATACTACAGAAATAAACATTAAATAATATAGAATTAGGTTATATTATAATAAGTTAAATATATTATATTATAAAATATAGTAACAATAAATTCACATATAAAAATCTCAGCCACGGGGAACTTTATTTTTGCATTCGCGGCAACACTGAACAGCGTCATTGATATTTTGTGACTTATTTATGGCTCGTGTTATTTTATGTTAAAATTTCGAAATTGTATGATACTTAATGATAGTATGTGATTCCAGTGTTTTTCTTATTTCTTGTAGTATTATTGTTACACAGTTTAAATACGTAAACTGGTATTTTACTTCGGATTATGATCAAAATTTAATAAATACATTCGGTACGTTCACCTCAGACGTTGCCTGCAACGCGACTGGCTCGGCTACGCCGCTTTCGGCGTAGTATTTGTTGCCGCATTTTACATGAGCGCCGGCAGTATCTAGTCAGAGCGCGCGATGACTTATCATTAATCTATAGGGGTAATGTTTTTTTTAAAGAACGGCTGAAAAACAATATGTCGCATACGACATATTGTTTTCTAAGCATAATTAATTTAGATAAAACAATTTCCGAGCGAATAAATATAACGTCACTTTCTAATTTTTATAATCACGTGATAATATTATGTAGCTCATTTGTTTTATTTATTATATTTTTTAGTTTTATAATTCAAATATTAGGTCCTTACATATGAAATTGGTATTTTAAACGGAAAAAGCAAAACGAAAAAAAATTATGAAATTACTATTTAATCAATCAAATGTACCATTATTATTTATGCACTTTCGCCTTTATATAGGTAGTTCATTGATTCCTTTGCTGAAAAAATTGTGGGAGCGAGAATCAATAAAATCTTTGAAGGCGGTTTTGTCTGATTTGACTTTGCATTTTTTCCTTGGCAGAAATTGTCCGAATTCCGGAAAAAGTGGTAATCTGTTGGAACGAGGTCCGACAAGTAGTGGTTGGTGGTGGTTGTCGGAGACATTCCAATTGCAGGTCCTCTAATTTAGCGACCGTCTGTTTTACAGTGTGTGGTCTAGCGTTGTCTTGAAGCAGCAAAGGGCTAAAGGGATTAACCAATCTCAGTTGTTTAACGGCTAGCTTTTCCATCTTGTCTGGCCAGATCTTAGGAAGCTGTAATCAATGACACCACCACCAGACACTTACCAGTACCTTTTTCTGAGTCAACTTTCGCTTAGGGCAGGATTTGGCCGATTCTCCTGGATTCAACCTGCGATTAGCGTTTCCGATTATCGTACAGGATCCATTTTCATCACAAGTAACGATACGATTCAACATCGCCTCGTTATTGGGAAGGTAGAGTAATGTAATGCAGAACTCGCTCGACGCGTGTTTGTTGGTGTGCCTCATTCAATTAATGCGGTGACCATTTTTCGAGCTTTTTCACTTTTCGAATTTGTTTCAAGTAAATTAAAATTGGTTCATCACTCACACCAAAGGCTGCCGCTAACTCTGACGTGGTTTGCGATGTCGAAGAAAAATCAAATGGCGCGAAAACAAATGAATCATTACGTTCGAAGCACAAATAGGTACACTAGCCAAAATCTATACAAATAAATAAAATTGGAGTGTCTGTTTGTAATGTCATAGTAACAGCGTTCCACTAAATGCATATGAAAGTATATACTTATAACAAAAACACAATTTTTTAATTTTTTTCTGTCTGTCTGTTTGTTCCGGCTAATCTCCGAAACGGCTAGACCGATTTTAATGGGATTTTCACTTGCAGACAGCTGATGTTATAGGGAGTAACTTAGGCTACTTTTATTTATTTATGAAAAATAATTAGGGCGCCGCGCAAAAAAATTAAAACCTAAATTACACGCGGGCTAAGTCGCGGGGAACAGCTAGTTTGAAATAAGTTTATACTTGGAATTTCTAATTATACGCCAGATATTTGAAAGCAATGGCCAGTTCGACAAAACGCCAATTTCATATGTAAGAAACTAATATTTCAATACATGTTGCGAATCGAAATAATTTGTTTTAACTGATTTCTTTTTGTTGTTTTCTGCATCAAGTTAGGAATAATAGATCAAAATAAGGTAGAAAATATTTAGTAATAAAAAGGGTTACAATGGAGAATATATCAACTTTTCTCCAGTTTCTTACCAGGATCTCCACCTCCCCGCACCCAGTTGACTCGAATGTCTTGTAATCGCATGAAGGCGGGGAACCAATTCAAATATGGTGAGTTAAACTCAACACCCACATCGTAAGATGATACCAACGCTGCACTCACCAATCAACCTCCGGCAGTCAATATCCAGCAGTAGTTTCTAAAGATTAAGTCGTAAGAGGAATGGAAAAAAATGTGAACTTAAAAACTAGAAGCAAATTATTTTATCTTCATTAAATTTGTAAGTACTTCATGGTTGGCTAAAAACCACATAGACGGCTTGAATAAAGCTACTTTTTTAACCCAAGGCTGAAAATTGTGTAATGACTGTACGAATATCTATTGCATTTTATTCTCATTAATAATGTTGACAACGTTAAAATTTATTAGGGATTTGCAAATAGGTGACGGTTTTCTACGTGAATAAAAAGCAATTTGACTGTACACAGTACAAAATTACAAGTTAGGAATAAAAGAAAGAAGAAAAGAGACAAAGTCTTTATATATAAAAATTACGTGTCACATTGTTTGTCCTCGATGAACTCCTAAGCTACTGAACTGATTTCAATGAAATTTTGCACACTCTGTGCAGTTTAGTCCAACTTAGAGATAGGATAGTTTTTATCCCGATAAGTGACCTTCAATATTTTTTATTGCGAATTTAAGGATTTTTTATAGGCAGGGTCGTCGGAAAGGGCAGAACAACGTCTGCCTGGCCAGCTAGTATTATATAAAATTATAAGCCATTTTGAGGTCTATAGATGTTGATCAGTTCGAGGTTTTAATAAACCGAAAATCTTTTACGACAATAATTATGCATAAAAGTACATATTTGCTTTTGTGGGTTCAGGTCGGCGTCAAAGCTGATTCAGCGGCAATAGCTCAGCTTTTCAAGCTTCTGGCTAACGGCGGATACAACGTGATACGCCAATTCATGGACCATGTTTGGGTCGATAAGGAAATACACTGGCTTGAGGTACTTGAGCGATTCTATAATCTTATCTATAACTATATTCATTACCTCCTTATTGGACTTATACGCATATTGATTAGGGTGCATTCTACGATTCCCCGATCTTTACTTTGTCTAATAAATATTATTCAAAAGATATATTCATGGATTATTGATCAAATTAGAATTTTCCCGCTTTAATTATTAAATTGTAAAGGACACGCGATTGTCTCAAGCTTGAACCATACTGATAAAGTTGTTGATGCATATAGGCGACCATACTTCATTCCATTATACACTCATAGACATATTTAGAGAGAAGTAAAAAAGAAGTTAAAAATATTTAATAGGTTCTCATTACGGATGTCCAGCACGGCCATCTATATCAGCTTATGTGTAAGGAGAGGTCAAAAAGTTCGCGGGATGAAAGGGAACAGGGTTGAAATAATACATTTTCCCTAAACCCTAGCACATTTCTCAGATATATCGAATAATCATATTAATACCGTTGAAAAAGGTTATTTTTTGCTGTCAAAATGAGCCATGGACCCACACCTGCCAACCAATTCGTTCCGCGATGTTACTTTTAGAACTTTTATCTTTTTGAACTTTTATTTCGGAGTTCTTTTTCTAATTGATTTATTGAGTATTGTGAGAAAGTTTGTTGGCTTTTCTTTTTTTTAATTCCATGGGTTTATCATGGGTTGCTGCCGCCCGCCGTCCGTCAATCCTTTCCAGACACTACCAATCACTTCTGCAACATAAATAATTTCTTTTTCACTCTTTCCTCGTTCATTCTAACTGTCGAATCCACCCAAGTATTCCGTTCTTACGCCTGATCACAACATCGTCTTGCAAACCACAATTTTCTCTAATCACACAATTTCTCACCCTCTTGTACAAGTCGCGGTACGTAAGTCTAGCGCTGAACGAAACGTGGAGGGGATGCGCACGAATTGAATTGCACGAATGCGACTGGCGACCCAATCAGCACGTACGAACGATACGCACGAGCCAATCCGCACGACTTATGCGCAATAACGGTCACCGCTAGACTTTCGTGCCGCTACTTATAAAGTGACATACGTACAATGGACTGAATAGTCTCATTCAATCTTTGTTCTGTATCTTGTCGTGTCTACCACTTTGGTCTAGTGGTCGTAACTGCTAACTATGTGGTCCCGGGTCCGACTTGGGTTCTTGTGTGTGATGTAAATCCCTGTAAATTCTTATTTCACATATAATTTTTCTTTCTTCTCTTTTAAAAACCATCACTTACGTCTTAGTTGCGTTCAATGCGTTTACTTTGATTCCTTTTTAAAAGCTTTTATTTAACTTGTTCTTTTAATAATATGCTCATTGATGTATTTTATTTTATTAATTTGCCGTGTAGTGGCGGTTAAGAATATCCACTACCCCATATCTTCCCATGTTTGTCGTCAGAGGCGACAGTGGGAAACAGGCAGGAGATGGGCAGCATGATCTTCCTGATAACAGCAATGTTACAATAATAAAACTGCGGTTGCCAACCCGCTCGCCGCGCGTGGCAGCTATGGCAAATAATCCCCCATGATGAAAGTTACGAAGAGACGGCCCCCAGACCTGGCGTCTCCGCTATTCCTGGTTACGGTGGCGTCCATGGTAACGGCGGGGCAGGGGGTGCTAAGAATCTCCGGTGGAGGGTCCGGTTGCCACCTAAGACGACTCGACCTGGCAACATACAACGCACGCACCCTGAGGACTGACGAGAAGATCCTGGAGCTGGAAGAAGAGATAGACAAGTTACGCTGGCATATTATAGGATTTTTTTATAGGATAGGGTGACAAACGAGCACACAGTCCACCTGATGGTAAGTGGCCACTGCGACCCATAGACATCTACATCTATCCTCAATAAAGACTCAAGATGCAGATGCGTTGTCACCCGTGAGGACTAAGATGGAATGCCTCTTTGCCAGTAAAAAGGGTCTCCAGTTCTCTACACTCACCATACGAAACACAGCAGCGTTAAGCTGCTATTTTACGCTGGTTTTTTGTGAGAGCGTGGTCCTTCCCCGGTCGAGCCGACCCATTCGTGCTACAACTATACCACTAATATAGCTGCAGCATGGCTCTACCACGTATAATTATTTATGATTATCCGAGGTCCGAAGAGAGCGGGAGGACACGGTAATCCTAGAATCCGGCAACTTGTTCTATCACCGGGAGGGCGACCACCTGTCCCAAGGAGGTGTCGGATTTATCAAAATGTTTAACAAAATTTATTAACATAATGAATATATGTTTCACAGATGAAAATTGTTTGTCAAACAAGGGACCTACAACATGCCTTAGAGCTCAAAAGAATGGTTGATAAGGCTTATCCAACAACAGCAATATTTGAAACAGAACCTTTCAATGATAAGCGCATCTGTCCATGTTATGTGAAAAAATAGCATAATTGTAATATGCAGTTAAACAAAAAAGAGAAAGTTATTTTGCTATATATTGCACTAATATTTACAATGGAATATATGTTATACGTTTCACAAGTATTTTTTTACGAGAAATACAGATTTAAATAACTGACTGTTGACTTTTTTCTATAAACATTTATTCAGCAGCAACCAAACGTTTGCGGCTTCACTCGCGGGATTTTCGATTGTCCAAAGCTATAAACTGCGCTGAGTATGCAACAAGTGCACGCGTAAACAAAGAGGACTAACTCGTTCTAAACTGTTCGTGGTGAGTGCACAAATAAAATCACGACAGAAACAGAAGGCAAGTATCACATTTTAGCAGTGTTGGGGTTTCATCCCTACTAGTTGAGAAGATGCATTCTTACCGCATATCCTAACACGGGAAGTGCTCAGAGGAATTTCCCAGCTGCTGACATCCACCATCGTAGCTACATTGCGAAAGGACTCGACATTCCATTCTCATCATCTCGATGACTGGCAGTCCACTACTGATCGATTTTCTGCCTCGCACGACCAAATTATGGAATTTACTATCGCCAACGGTGTTTCCTGACCGATACAACTTTAGAGTTAGGGACCTTCAAGAAATGAGTCAACTCCTTTCTAAAAGGCCGGCAACGCACCTGCGATTCCCCCCTTGTAGCTATACAAAATTTTTACACCTACACTATCTTTGACTACAGCGCTCTGGTATGATGACCAAATACTTAGGTGGTCACCGTTAGCAAGAAATCGGAATGATGTCAAAGACTAGCCTGTATGGCAGCTAATGTCTTCTAGGGGATTTTTTTTATAGAATAAGGGTGACAAACGAGCACGCAGTCCACCTGATGGTATTTGCTGTGGTCCATAGATATCTACATCTATCTTCGTTTACGAATTAATCTGTGAAATCTTTGAAAACCACATGTGGTCATCCTTTTTTTATTTGTAGAACCCTCCAAAGAGTATGATTATATTTATACTTAGAATTTTTCCTTAATAACTGGCTTTACGGCTCTGGGATCTAGCCCTTCTGAGCCTGAAGTTACAATATTATATTATAATAATTATTCTTCATAGTATACTGCTTCACAATATGTTAATGCGTCATATTGTGCAGCCCTCGGGAGATTTTGACGGTAACTTGAGCCAGCAGACAGCTGACGGTTGGCGATGGTATCTCAAGGCGCCTAAGCAGACAGGCACCTTATTTTGAGAATCACATCACTATCAGAGCACTTGTTTCACAGTTTCCACTAATAGTTCACATGCGCAGACACTTAATACACAAAATCGCACCACTTTTACATATCAAAGTCCACTTCAAACCATTATTTAAACAATAAAACAGGAGCAGCAAACCGACGCCGGTCAAGTTCCCGCCAAAACTCTGATATATTTAGAAAAGAACCCTCAAACCAAAGAGTATATGATCACTACGTTTAGTCAGAACCATAGTTGTTGTACTCAGAACAATTATTTTTTAAATGCTATATATATGATTTATAAAACTAAAATTTTATTAGATTAGTTTAGTTACTAAATTACGCTTCTTTAAATTAACACAATTTACTTCAAATTACGAGATTCCGCCATTACCTATGCGTAGCGTTTACGTCACATACTTTAGTCTTATTTCCTTCGCCGCGTGATTTAGGGATGGGCAAAGGGACAAAATATATCGATATATATCGAATCTATATTTTAAAATAGAATCGATATATATCGCGTGATAAATATCGATATATCGTCATCATATGAATGATGTAAAGATAAGGTCCAAAATTTTATCTACTGACGGTTGGACGACGAAAAAAACGATACATCATTTTAAAATATATCGGAAATTGATACGAATTCGATACTCTAAAATAAATATCGATATGTCGATACATCCTGATTTATAATATGGACGATATATATCGATATTTTTATTATAAAATATCGATATTTTTTGCCCAAGCCTATCGTGAGTGTAAGAGGCAACAACAAATGTTAAAAAAAATTAAGTGGGTACAATAAAAAGTTTTTTGTTAGTTTTTATATAAAAGGTAAGTAATTACACTGTTTTTAAAAGTTAATTCCTTATAAGATAGCGTAATAAAGTATATACATATGATTTAATTTTTTGGAGGCTCCTACTGAGTATATCGATATAATTATATTATATATTTCTTTTCTTTATGAAAATCGAGTGTTTCTATGTCCTTGTTTCTTTCTTCATAGTATTTATTTGATTTTAACATATAGATATTGAATTTTAACATATGGCGATTCGTTAGATTTGCCTTAGTTGTAGAAGTGACATAATATTTAATTTTTTTCTTTTCAGTAGAATTGTTTGGTTTTGTTATTTATTACTGTTTTAACCATTGAACTTGTTTACGCTACTTTTGTTTAATAAATTGTTTTATGATGTTTGATGATTTTTTTTACACACAAAAATATTTTTTCAAACAATAAAATTAATCCTTCCCTCTCCTTTCAGTTTTCTTCTACTGCTGGTCATGGGCCATGGAAATAAAGGGGAGCACAGAATTTTACTGTCACAAATACTACCCACCTTTATAACGCTGCCCTAAACATCGCACGGAGTATCCGCGTTCCACCGAGATTAAATTTAGAAAAAATGTTCGCCTTTTTTCCTCCCACATTTTTTTCTTGTCATTATAACAACAAACACCGTTACATCCTATAAAAACCCCCACTGAACATAGGCCTCCACTATATTCCTCATAGAGGGTATACTTGTCATAGTTGCTTGCCACTTTCTGTTCCACGGTACACGTACCTTGTTACACAGTAACTGAACAGTGGATCAGTGGCCCCTTACGAAACCCACGGAATGATATGAATATTCATACACCGCCACTACACAATAATTGATAATTTCTCGAAACATTTCATTTATCGACGAATCGTCTTGCAATCGTCGTTACTCTAGCGCTCACTTGACCTTCATACAAATAATTCGATATTTTAATTGTTGATATTTTTTTTATTTTTGGATAAGAACATAGTAACGACTCTTAGGCCCGCCATATACATACGGAATTCCGTTTCGAGATTCCGTTTCGGAATTTCGAACTGTCGGCCACACACAAACGGAATCCCGTTTTGCCCGCAAAATATCGAACGGAAAACTACCGTACGTGTGTGGCGGGTCATAGATTTTATATGGACTTGCTGCGTTCGGGATTCCGAATCGGAATATCGAAACGGAATCTCGAAACGGAATTCCGTATGTATGTGGCCGGCCTTAAGTTATATGTATTTACCATCTTTTAAAAAATTGTCTTTGGCCTGACCTACTATACTTTTTGGCTTGACCATAGGTGTGATTAAGTATGTCCAATAAAATGTTGTTCCCTACTGAGAGTGAGAGGTTAAAATGCAAATGCTTTGTGAGTCGTGAGGACCAGTTTCTCTATCTAGTCTGTGGTGAGGACTAAGCTAAGATGGAATGCCTCTTTTCCAGTAAAAAGTCTCTGGTTCTCTACTCACCATACGAAAAACAGTTGCAGTAAGCTGCTATTTTACGCTGGTATTCTGTGAGAGCGTGGTCCTTCCCCGGTCGTGCCGACCCATTCGTGCTACAACTATACTATTAATATAGCTGCAGCATGGCTCTACCACGTATAAAATGCAAATAGTATGTAAATCAAGGGAGGTGAAACAAACACACAAGGGATAATATGGAGTGGTGTAGTAGATTATCTTACGCATTACTTACACGTAATAGAATTATCTGTTGAGCGAACTGTAGAAATGGCATGTGTTGAGTTTGAGCACCTCATTGTTGTGAGCGTCTACAGACCCCCATGTTGTACATATGATGCTTTTGAAAACATTATGGAGGAAGTTTTTGCTAAGCTTAATAAACAGAATAAATCTATTGTAATATGTGGAGACTTTAATATCAATCTCCTAGAAGCTTCCTCCATCAATATTAAATTTAGATCATTGTTTAAATCATATGGTCTTTTTAATTTATTTATAGAGCCAACGCGTATTTCTCAATCTAGTGCAACATGTATAGATAACATTTTTACAAATGTGAAGCCGTTGCATAAATGTATAATTCAAAAATTAAGTTCTGATCACTGTGGACAAGTAGTTTCGTTACCTTATGTTCACAAAAAGCAAGTAGATGAGAAAGTTGTGTCTGTTCCAGTAAATGCACGTCGCTTGGAGAAATTTAGAAGTAACGTAGTGAAAAAACTTCCATCACTTTCATACCAAAATGATCCTAATTTTTTGTATGGAACATTATTTAAGCTTATTTGCAATGAATTTAATAATACTTTTACTTCTAAAACATTCTCCTTGAACAGTCGGAAGTCATTCAATGAATGGGCGACAGTAGGAGTCCATAAGAGCAGGCATAGGTTATATGATCTTTACCATGAAAGGTCATATAATCATAGCGTCGAATTTAGGGAATATGTAAAAAAATATTCAAAAATATTTAAAAGAGTGTGCTCCATAGCCAAGTCTTTGCATTTGAGCAACAAAATTAAGACGGCTTCCAATAAAATTAAAATGACATGGAGTATAATTAATAGCGAAACTGGTAAGATCAACTCTCGCAATTCAAATTACCAGTTAAGTGTTAACAACAAATTAACTGTATCAGATCAGGACGTAGCAATGGTTTTTGAGAAATATTTTACTGATATTCCGATCTTGACCACTAAGTCACTGAATTCTTCTCCTGCCGTCGCCGAATCATTACTTAAACAAAATGTAAATGTGTGTACAAAGAATTTTACATTTCATAAAGTGTCATCAAAAGATATTGTAAAATATTTTAAAACTATTGATGTTAAGAAAACTGCGGATCTGTGGGGGATTTCCGTTAAAGTTATTGCGTCTATAATAGATACAATCGCGCCTCATTTAGCTATTATTTTTAATACTAGTATCGAATCTGGTGTGTTTCCTGATTTAATGAAGCATAGTAAAGTAATACCTTTATTTAAATCTGGTAGTACATTAGACCCCGCCAATTTTAGACCTATTTCTGTACTACCAACACTTAGTAAGATTTTTGAAAAAATTGTTCTTGTTCAAATGTTAAATTTTTTTAATATAAATAATTTACTTCATAAAAATCAATTTGGTTTCACAAGGGGTCGCTCGACAACTGATGCCGGTGTTGAGCTGATTAAATATATCTTTAATGCATGGGAGAATTCACAGGATGCTTTGGGTATATTTTGTGACCTATCCAAGGCCTTCGATTGTGTTCACCATGAAACATTAATCAGGAAACTTCAACACTACGGTGTAAGAAGTGATGCCCTTAAATTAATTATTTCATATTTAAGTAAGAGAACGCAACAAGTTGTCATTAACAATATGAGCTCTTCCGGATCGATGGTACAAATGGGCGTGCCTCAAGGCTCAATTCTCGGCCCCTTTCTGTTTCTTGTATACATTAATGACTTACCTTACATAGTAGGGGATAACCATGATATAGTATTATTTGCAGATGACACTTCTTTAATTTTCAAATTAAGTCGACAGTTACTAAAATATGACGAAGTAAATAATGCTATCTCTAAATTAGTAAATTGGTTCGATGTTAATAATTTGCATTTAAATGGCACTAAAACAAAATGTATGAAATTCGTGACTCCAAATGTCAAACAATTAAATACTAATGTAATTTTAAATGGGGAGAAACTGAGTCTTGTAGATACCACCATTTTTCTTGGAATCACACTAGACGCGAAGCTTCAATGGAGCCCCCATATATCAAAACTAGCAAGCAGACTTAGTTCTGCAGCATATGCTGTAAAAAAGATTAGAAGTTTAACCAGTGTTGAAACAGCTAGACTAGTTTACTTCAGCTACTTCCATAGCATAATGTCGTATGGTATTTTGCTATGGGGACACGCAGCTGACACTGAAATTATATTTGTTTTGCAGAAGAGGGCCATAAGAGCAATTTATGATTTAAAGCCTAAAGAGTCGCTGCGACAAAAATTTAAGGAAATTAATATATTAACTTTGGCCTCTCAATACATTTATGAAAATGTAATGTACGTACACAAAAATAAAAGTAGTTTTACAAAAATAAGTGATATTCATTCTGTAAATACTAGGAACAGACACAAGCTAGTAGTACCAGTTACTCGACTCCATCGAGTCAGTAATTCATTCTTGGGGCGATGTATACGCTTTTACAACAAAATTCCAGAAAATATACAAAGTTAGTACCTGTTCAAAGTTCAAAAACTTTATTAAACTAAGTTTGTATAAAAAGGGTTATTATAATATTAAGGAATTTATGGATGATAATAACCCCTGGAAATGAGGTGATCGCTACCAAGCTATTTCTAATTTGTTGTGTTGTTAATTTGTGTAACATCATGATTGTAAGCTGTTATTTAAAAAAAAAGTCCCGCTGGGTTTCTTGCTGGTTCTTCCCAGGACAGAGGTTTTTTCCGAACCAGTGGTAATCAAACAAAAGAGTGACTTTCAATAAGTATTATTTATAATCTATATTGAATAAAAAAGTTTCTGTTTCTGTTTCTGTTTCTATCAGATCGCGCTACCCCAGCGCTGCGGACATTTCCCTGCCCTAAAACCCTCTTAGAAATAAAATGAGTCCTGTGCCCAGCAGTAGGCATACATAGGCTATAATTTGAGTTAATATTAGTGTTACACAGGCTGGATTCCTTATTTCTCCGTATTTTGTGTATAGGCATGAAATAATGCTATTCGAAGCAACCTAGCTCCTCGAAGGATCTTAACAAATTTTTAATAACGTCTTAAATTTCGAGGAAGTCCATGCTTGAATAAATTTGTTCTCTTATTACTATCTGTTTTTAAACAACGGGGATTAGCGCCCATTTGCGCTGCAAGACCTCTAGCACTGCAACCACCAAAACACTCGACGATCGTGGCGCCGCCCCGAGTTAGATCGTCTTGCCTCGAGAAGAACTATGGCATTTTATCCACTGTAGGGTAATGTTATTTACTTCGCATACCTTGTTATGGTATTGAAAGCATTCATACATTACCCCAGAGTTTTCCGACATTACTATTCAGGGCTAGTATAACGGCCTTGCTGTCGGAAATTAGTAGAACATATTTGTTCTTTACTTTTCTAACTGCGATTGCTGATGCCGCTTAGATGCCCATAGATTCAGCTTGAAAAGACTGAATTTTGGAGACCTAGCGTTATCTTAGTGTATGTTTAACTCTTTCGAGAAATCAGCCAGACCTTGTCTTAGAACCATCATACGTGGTAGCCATGCTGCAGATACATTAGTAGTATAATTGTAGCACGAATGGGTCGGCTCGACCGGGAAAGGACCATGCTCTCACAGAATATCAGTGTAAAATAGCAGCTTAATCATGCTGTGTTTCGTATGGTGAGTGTGAGAACCGGAGACCCTTTTTATCGGAAAAGAGGCAATACATCTTAATCCTTACGGGTGACAATGCATCAGCATTTTGATTCGCAAACGAGGATAAATGTAGATGTCTATGGGCCACAGCAACCACTTACCATCAGGTGGACTGTGTGCTCGTTTGTCACTGTATTATATTAAAAAAAAAATGAAAATTTTCTGTTATTTCGAATATCCGACATCCTGCATTCGATTGTAAATATACTTGTAAGAATACAAAATTACTCTACAAAATACAAAATTAGTCAAATGCAAATAGTTTTGAGAATTTTTGTCTTTCTTTACTGCAAGTAATTGGACAAATTTTAAAGTTTATCCAATGCTAATAGTAATAGTGACTGCATGTTTTTTCCACACAAAACAAGTGATAAAATTAAAAATTTTGTACAACAGACTTCAATATAAATCATTAAGGATAACTCAAAAACTATTGATCTGGCCTTATTCAAATTTATATGGGACCACATGAGAAGCACCAGCTTTTAAATAAAAAAGAATCATCGAAATCAGTTCACCTAGAAAAATTTTTACCTCATAAATTTTTTCATAAAAGAAAACATACAGTCGAATTGAGTACTTTCTCCTTTTAAGCCTGTTTAGTTTTATAGCTGACAGTGTCCATTCTTGAAATCTTACATGGCAGCTAGGACCACTGAGCTAAGACCGAGATAAAGGTTTGTTGAGTAACACCTGATACTCTACTTATATTACTCTCTACTTATACTAGTCTTAACCTTTGTATTCTTAAATACTATTATGATTTTATGAAAGTACAATGAAATAAAATACGAAAATAAATGTTCAAAAATTTATTTTAAAAATTGGATGAATTGTAGACTGATGTAAATAAAATCCTGAGACTATTTGGTGGCACCACAAAAACTTTACCACTCAATTACCCTTAAGACTAGGCCTTATAACCCTAGCAATATGTTGACAAAGTGTTTTACTTAAATTATAATAAAATGCATTGATTATTATTACTGTTTGTGATAACATAAACTTATATCAAGTTTAAATTTGGTCATGTGCTGGTCATTAAGCATTTAACATTTATCAAATTTGCTATCATTTTATACACTATATATATAATAAACTTTAAACAACATATTCATACAGAAACATTACAATATTATTTGCACTATTTATTTTTATTATTTTAACTTCAGCCTCTTCATTTAACCAGTAGGTCCATAAAAGCAGCCATTCGAACATCTCTCTTACTGAGACCATTAACATCATGGGAAGATAATGTTACCTGCCAAAAATATTGAGAAATGATAAACCAAGCCTATATATAACTAGCATACTAAAATGTGACGTAAATTAAAAAGTAAATTTACAGTTAAGGGATGGATGTTCTTGTCCGCTGTGCTGTGTAAATGAATTTCACATTCTATAAAATAATTTTATTTATATTTTTTCAGACATACATATGTTCCTCACAACATTTTCTTTCATCACTTAGAATGTGGGAAAACCACCACTTAAATTGCAATTAACAATGTTATTGATGCCGGTGCTTTGATTTTAAATTGGTAAAATGAAAATTTCATCTTTTCATGCTTGTCTAGTTACGTTTAAGTACATTTGAATAATTTTGAAATAATATTTCAAAACTTTAATATTTTGGTAATTGATACATCTTTACTAACTTTTCTATTAAAGAAACAAGAACCCAATATTTGGTTGCCATTTCTAAAGTGGAGCAAAAATTTTTACCATGTATGTATAATGCATATATATATATATATATATTAAAATCAAAGGCTGTCCATTAGTCTCGCAAAAACTCGAAAATAGCTGGACCAAATTTTTTTTTGTGTGTTGTTGAAATTGTTTAGATTCACAGTTCGACCCTGTATGTGGCACTATTGTTGAGATACAGAAATCACCCATGTGAAGCCAGGGCAGGTCGCTAGTATTATATATTTTTATATCAAACTTAACTAAATAGAATAATTTTTATGAATCTAGCATAAAAGCTTTTAGTTGGCAATATTTGATTAAATTGATCATTTACAAAATGGCAATTTAATAACAATAATGTTTGTTGATTATAAATAAACCTGTAGCACAGTTAAGACAAATTTAAAACTGTATTTAAATTTAATGTATTAAAGAAATTATACCTGTACTTTGTTGTATACATTAAACCATTCTGGATGATGGTCCATTTTCTCAGCTAACAATGCCACTCTAGTCATAAATCCAAATGCTTCATTGAAATCTTTAAACTTGAATTCCTTTTCAATTGCATCACGGTTGCTTTGAACCTTCCATCCTGCTTGAATTAGTGGCTGTAGCAGCTCATTACGCTCTTCAGCACTTAGTTTATCAACCTAATAAAAATAAAATACACCAGATCAAAAATTAATGATTAAATACTGATAGAAAAGTATTCAAGGAAAAATATTACGTATATAACCCAAAAATGGATTTCAACACAATCAAATATTTATTATTTAATAATTTGAAAGCAACAGGTGATTAAGAAATCATAATATTATCATTATTATTTGGTTGTCTATCTCTGACTTGAGACTGCATTAAGTAAACACATGTAATTAATTAAGTACATACTTAAATGAAATTGCTATTTACCATTTTCCTCGTAGACACAGTTGTAAACCCGACCCTCACAGCGGCGGCAACTAACTGAATGTCATTGATTGGAGTTCGCGCAAGTAGACTTAATTTCAAGGCAGCGGGGTGAAAGTGTATCGCTACCAAACATCCAGCTTTGTATATGTTTCTACACCGAAACATTTAAAGATTTTAAAAAAAAACTCGCTTACTAAGTCCTTAACTTTTAAATGGAGCAGAGCAATTATTTTCTTAGAATAGTTACATACATACTTTGTATTAATTTGTAAGTTGATTTGTTTATCTTTATAATTTATAAACACTAACAAACAAGGATTAAACGAAATAATTAGGTACTTGATTTTTGTGATAGGCAAAATTTAAAGAAAAGTAATAAAATTTAAAAAGGAGAAAATAATTTTTAAATTTTATTTTTTTATTTTTATAACTGGCTTTACGGCTCTGGGTTCTAGCCCTTCTGAGTAGGGATGTGAAAAAATAATCGATTTTTATATTAATCGATTATTTTTTTCGTATAATCGATTTTTAAAAGTAGATTTTTTTTATAATAAAAATCGATTTTTAATCTATTATGTAAGTTACGCGTTTTAATCGATTTTTGTAATCAGAGTCATCTGTGCGATGGATGTAAAAACGTGAAGTAAGTTCAATAACATGAATAAGTCAATCAAAAAACAGCGTCATCTGTGCGACAGATGAAAAAACGCGAAGTAAGTTCACTAACATGAACAAGTCTATCAAAAGACTGCGCCATCTTTATGTATCTCTATGTATGTAAAACAGTTTCGCCTTTCGTATGTTTTCAACAGTTTTCTTCCTCCGCTAGGAGTTAAAGTAATCTGTGTTTTTCTTTCTTTCTTTGGTTAGTGTAAACAATTATATGTAAACAATAAAAATGTCTTGTAAAACGTCTTAAAGTGACTGACGGAAGTATTTTATAATGAAAAAATGATAGCGGCCAACACCTCAATAGGCAAAAATACTGAATTGGATCTATATATTGCGGCACCACTATCAAATCTCAAGGCAGATGCCCTCAATATATGAAGAAGCTCTGAAGGAACTTTCCCTAAACTAGCCGAATTGGCTCTTAAACACCTCTCTGTGATGGCCAATTCCGCGCCAGCCGAAAGATTATTTTTGATAGCGAGAAATATAGTCAGGAAAAAACGAAACCTCATTTTGGGAAAGAGACGAAGAAGAATTTTGGTGAAATGATTGTTTTTAAACTCTAACTGAAAATTCATGGCAATAATTTTTTTCACTTTTTTATTTACACTAGTTTAAAAAAAGGTTTGTCTTGTATTTTAGTTTTGAGACCAAAAGGTTGTCGTTTGATTATTTATAATTATATTTTTATTTTATTTTCATTCTACTTCAGTGTAAATGATACTGAACATTAATGACAATAATTATTTATAGTTTTTTGTTTAAAATTAAAGTTTAAAAAAAGATTTATTATAGTTTTGAGACCAAAATGTTGTCGTTTGACTATTTAAACTTATAGTTTTATTTTATTTTCATTTTAATCCAATGTAAATGGTACTGAACATTTGTGGCATAATAATATTTAGACTTTGTTTGTTCAAACTTAGTTTAAAAAAACTATCGTTTACTATCGTTTCTTAATGATATCTTATATTTACGCGAAGGCTACACATTACTAATTACTAATTTTTACGGATTTTATCGCGATTAATATAACTTTTTAATTCCCGACGTTTTGGGTGCTTCACAGCACCCATGGTCACGGGGGGGGGGGGGGGGCTGAGGTGTTCGACGTCCCGATGTCATAGTTTGCCTAGCTACCTTCAGTTGGTCCGATCTACGCAGAATGAGCTTACAGTATCTTGAAGTCTTACAGTGGTATGCTTGGGTTTGGATTTCATTTCATTAATTATAGGATGCCAAGCAGACGCCAGCACCCATGCATCTTCTCTATTGAAATTAGGATGTTTTTTAATTTCAATAGCCTCGCGAATCATCCTTGGTAGGAATCGGAGTTCTTTTGCGAGGATTTGTGGTTCAACTGTGACATAGGGACGTCAATCACCTCAGTCCCCCCTGTGACCATGCGTCCCCGCACCCGAAACGTCGGGAATTAAAAAGTTAAATTAAACGCGATAAAATCCGTAAAAATTAGTTTCATTTATGGTTTATTTTTATTTTGGTTCTATTAAATTGTTAAATGACAATGAACATTTGTGGCTGTAATTATTTTTAGTTTTTTATTGTTTAAAGTTATAGGTTAAAAAAATGTTCTGTAGTTTAGTTTTATCACCAGAAGATTGTCCTTCTGATTATGTTTTTTTTTTATAGGATAAGGGTGACAAACGAGCACACAGTCCACCTGATGGTAAGTGGTTGCTGCGGCCCATAAACATCTACATCTATCTTGAATTACGAATCAAAATGCAGATAAGTTGTCACCCGTGAGGACTAAGATGGAGTGCCTCGTTTCCAGTAAAAAGGGTCTCCGGTTTTCTACTGTACACTCTACTACTACTACTCACCATACGAAACACAGCAGCGTTAAGCTGCTATTTCACGCTGGTATTCTGTGAGAGCGTGGTCCTTCCCCGGTCTAGCCGACCCATTCGTTCTACAACCATAATGTAGCTGCAGCATGGCTCTACCACGTGACTTTTATACTTATCATTTTATTTGATTTTTATTCTGATAAATTGTTGATACTATACTCTCGTAGTTTTATTAATATATAGGAAAGCAGGCATTTTTTCGAATAAAATAATTTTTTCGCAAAAATCGATTATTTTTTTAATAAAAATGATTTTTCCTAAATCGATTATTATCACAAAGCAAAAAATCGATTTTTTAATAATCGATTTTTTTCACTCAATGTCACATCCGTACTTCTGAGCCTGAAGTTACAATGTATAATAATAATTATCCTTCATAGTACACTGCTTCACAATATGTTGATGCGTCACATTGTGCAACCCTTGGGAGATTTTGACGGCAACTTGAGCCAGCAGACAGCTGACAGTTGGCGATGGTATCTCAAGGGGCCCAAGCAGACAGACATCTTATCTTGAGAATTACATCACCATCAGAGCACTTGTTTCACCGTTTCCACTAATAGTTCACATGCACAGACACTTGATACATAAAATGGCACCACTTTTATGTATCAAAATCCACTTCAAACCATTATTTAGACAATAATACAGGAGCAGCAAACCGCCGCCGGTCAAGCTCCCGCCAAAACCCATTATTTTTAAATAAACGATAAATAAAATACTGCATAGCACTGTGTCTGTCAAATTATCTGTCATTGGCTCCGCTAGCACTTCTTATTTGTGTTTGTGGTCATTGGCACATTATTTTTTAATTTAATAGCGAATAGCGAGCCATATACATATGGAATCCCATTTTGCTCGCAAAATTTCGAATGGGAAACTATTGTATCAGAATGAATTTCAAGATTCCGAACGCAGCAAGTTCGTATAATTTTTTTTTTTATATAGGATAAGGGTGACAAACGAGCACACAGTCCACCTGATGGTAAGTGGTTGCTGCGGCCCATAGACATATACATCTATCCTCGTTTGCGAATCAAAATGCAGATGCGTTGTCACCCGTGAGGACTAAGATGGAATGCCTCATTTCCAGTAAAAAGGGCCTCCGGCCACCTGCACTCACCAAGCGAAACGCAGAGGTAAACCTCTACTTCACGCTGTTATTCTGTGAGGTCGTGGTACCACCCCGGTTCGAGCCAGCCCATCCGTGCGACAGCAAAAGCTGCCGCGTGGCTCTACCACTGTTAGAATTCCGCATGTATGTTGCCGGCCTTATTACACTACACTGATTTTATCATTTTACCCCCTTACCACGGCTGGTAATCTTTGGATGTTGTATCCCTTTGTATTCTCTATCGAATTTACCACGAGGAGTGCTCTGAGGAATTGTTCTGATTAATTCCAGCCGCCAAATTTCACGAACACACATCGCGTTAAAATTCACGATACCATCCTCACCATCTAGATGCTTGGCGGTCCACGACTGTGCGTTTTACTAGGACTTTTCTTCCTCGTACAACTTCTCCGTGGAATTGTTTACCACCGGCGATATTTCCGGACCGATACGACTTAGGGACCTTCAGGAAAAGAGCTTATACCTTTCTAAAAGGCTGGCAACGTACCTGCAATTACCCTGGCGGCGGTAGTCACTTACCATCAGGTGAGCCGCATGCTCGTTTGCCCCCTCTTCTATAAAAAAATGGCAAACCATACCAATTTGACAGTTTAACAACATCAATTGCGTGGCTTTCGATGTCGAGCAAACGAATTTTTCAATCACATGAAGCAAAGAATATTGTTGGGTTGTTAAATTTGTTTTGGATTACTATCCCTTAAATTTCGCTTGAGCTGCTTCGCCAGGCTTCACCGCATATATACACTTTTGTGTTAAGAACACAGTCAAACAATGAGTTAAGTATGCAGACAGCTAACTTGTAACTTGTTTTAAACAATGTTCTTAATGTGCTAAGTTACTCGCGTTAAGCTTACTCGAGTTCTGAAGTTATCCTTCTTTTGGCGCGTTTGAGAAAAATGATGAGAGTGAATTTTTTACAACTTCAGTTGGTAATTGTCTGTCAATTGTTAAGTTTTCGTGAGAACTGATAACTATATTCGAGGTAGTTATTCAAATATATATGAATGTATAAAACGTCTTTTATTTTAGTTATTTTTGTTTAGTTACGCATTCGAGATACAGTAGAAGGTTCTGGAAACTATCTGAGGCCCTATATAAGGCCAGTATAGACCACGACCGGGGAAGTATTAAATTGGCGATACAAGAGAATACTTCGAAGCGAAATAACGGCGAACTGTGTTTTATTATTAGTGTGATTTTAGATTGTAATTAGTGTTGTGTAATTAAAGTGTCAATTTTGGTAATTCAATCGGCAGTTTTAATTGTCTCGAACCCTAAGCTCGTAACAATTGGTGTCAGAAGTGGGATCAAATATGCCGATTTTACCTAAAGACAACACGGAGGGTATCCGTACCCGAAGTCAACGCCAACAGGAGACGGACCAGAGACGATTTGGTAATGCAACGCCGCAAACATCGGAGGGCCAGCTGCTAAACACGGAGGCCGGCTCGTCAGCAGCTCCTGCATCTGCAGCACTTGACTTAGGT